AACCTGGCAAATACCAATGTGACTTTTTTCGAGTTATATAATATGTACTTTCTATAACTATTTTGACACCTCTGACATACGGTGAAGGAAAACATCGTGAGGTAACCTGGACTTATAATTTCTAATTATAAGTTTGAATTCGCCAATCTGCCTTGAGCAAGCGTGGTGATTAACGCTCAAACCTTCTCCGTGTGAGAAGAGGCCTTTGCTCATCATTGTGTGATATGAAATAACCTCACTCACACGACGAAATCCAACGTTATCAAGTTGTTTCACGCCGGTATTCTGTGAGGCCGTGGTATCACTTCGGTCGAGGCGACCCATTCGTGCCGAACCATGGCTCTTCTGACTCCCACACTAAAATCAGAAACCTAATCTAATTCAATGAGCAATATTACTTAATTCAATCCATTAAAGACTGATCCATCAAACACAAGGTCGCAATGAAGGTCCCTGATAAATATGAAAAGGGTCTATTTAAGTAAATTTGAATTGAGTTAGGCTCGCTACGCATTTCGTGTTTTAATTATGATTAAACCTTCTTGGTTTAGGATCTGAGTGAAATTAAATTTGATTTTAAGCTTTAAACTTTTAGTACTAAGTATCAAATCTGTTTAAGGATTTGCGTTACAATAAAAGTGTTAATTTTTTTTTATGGTATAAGGTCGGCAAATAAAGAACTGACTGATGATAAGCAATCAACGATTATGGATACCAGTCACACTGTCATCACACATCGCATCTTCATTCTGTAAGTGTCCACTGCTGTGCAAAGGCCTCTTCTCACACGGAAAAGGTTTGAGCATTAATCGCCAAGTTTGCTCAAAGCGGATTCGCGATTTCAAACTTATAAATAAGAATTATAAGTCCAGATCTCCTCACGATGTTTTCCTTCACCGTATGTCAGTGGTGTCTAAATAATCATAGAAAGTACATATGACTCGTAAAAAGTCACATTGGTACTTGCCAGGTTTAGAACCCGTACCCCCATGCATGAGACACGGGCGCCTTAAACTCTGGGTCACAGGGACCAATCCTCCTTCTCACGCCTCAGCCGCAGCAGTAGACGACACTCAGGACGTCGGGGATCGAGAGACGATCTCCGGCCATCGAGAAGACAATGCGGTGTCACATAGACACCACATCAAAATTTGTTTAACCAATAGCGAGATGATCGCAGACTCATCATTTAATACAACATACACTAAGAATAAATATAATTAAACATTATAACGTAAAAATGCGTTATAAAAATCTCAAAATCAATTTTCGACAAAATCGTAGCACGCGTAGCAAAGCGCTACGTCGTAGTAATTTCGTAGCAATGTGCGTATTTTTTGGTTTACTTGGAGACCGACATAGTGATAAACTGATGTCGTGGTGGAGGTTAAGAAGCCCGCTTCTCATTCATGAGGGCGTAGGTTCGAAACCTCAACCTGGCAAGTACCAATGATGTGACTTTTTCCGAGTTATATGTACTTTCTAAGATTATTTAGACACCACCGACATACGGTGAAGGAAAACATCGTGAGGAAACCTGGACTTATAATTTCTAATTATAAGTTTGAAATCGCCAACCCGCATTGAGCAAGCGTGGTGATTAATGCTCTAACCTCTGTATGAGAAGAGGCCTTTGCTCAGTAGTGGGCACTTATAGGCTGATGATGTAGTGATAAAGTTTGCAAGGCCGCTGGGTGCTGGTCGGTTTTAACGGAAGGATGTGGGGAAAGCCTATATAATAATGTCTTCTGATATATCCTTTTCCAATCCTTAAATATCCGAAACCCTTATCCCTAAGCCAGCAACGCACTCGTAACTCCTTTGGCGTTGCTGATGTCCATGGGCGGTGTCGATTGCTTACCATCAGGTAATCCTGACTCGTTTGCTGACTAATCCAAAAAACTTTACCAACCTTTTCCAGTATGAAAAAGCTATATGGTTATGTTACCGTCTCCTTTTTTTTTGTGAGGGCAAATTCATCAAATGACTTCCCCCGCCCAGGGCCGGGCGGGAGGGAGTGTCAGTCTCTTACTGACTAAAAACCCCCCTGTTCCTTCTCCTGCTCTGGGCCGAGGTCGCGGTGCCTCATTGCGCTTACCCCGCAACCCCGGCTGAACATCAGCCCTTGAGGGCCCCGTCTGTGGTGGTCTATTGGCTCTTTGAGGCGCGCGCGGAACGCAATACGCCGTACGCTCGGATCTGGTTCTGGTCGGGCGGCGAGTTACCCTTACTCGCCGACCGCAGACCCGCGCTTACGGTGGCCGGAGATCGTCCCTTGATATGTTAAAGTCTCCTAACCTTTTAAGTATGCCGCCTCGTAAACTTTTATTACGATCTTTGTATCAAACATTTTTGTTTAAAAAGTATTCCAAAAATGTTTCGAAACGACTACCAATGCTGTTGTACTATTAAAGGAGAATTCTTGCGTAACGGTGTAGGATTATTTTATTTTTATTTAAACTTCATGCACAATGGGTATGGGCATTTTCTACCAGTCAAACCTTGGGTGATGCAGAGATGAGCCAATGTTCGGTGCAAGAAGCAAGCAAACGGCTTAATTGTAAATCTGTTATAACATACGAGATAGATATGTATATATGTGCGTATTATTAACGTACAAGTTACTATATCCCTAATATATACCTACATCCATACTCAAATTATATTATATAATAATTAATAACATCTACATATATAAACTATATACATACATATACTAATACTTATTAATAATAATGTATGGTGGTCAAGGTTTAGCCAAACATTTCAATAAAAGCTCACGAACCTTTTGTTTAAAAGTCAAGCGACTAGACACCATCCTGACATCAGGATTATTCAGGATTATTTTATTACTAGCGTTTGCCCGCGACCGTTTGCGTGGAATAGTAACTTCCTTCAGATTTTTGGTAACTATAAAAACTATCCAATGTCCTTTCTCGAGTTACAAACTATGTCTGTACCAAATTTCACTGAAATCGGTTCCGAAGTTTAGGCGTGAAGAAAAGACAGACAGACAGAGTTACTTTCGCATTTGTAATATTAGTTTGGATTTAAATTCAATATGAATGAAAATCTCGTAAAATGATCTGATCGTAACGTCGAGCGTGTGTAAGATATAGGTTCTTGCACGGAAAAACTCTTTGTGAGATCCACACATTGTTGTTCCGAGATTATGTTAGATATGTATGGGCCCGAAAAGTGCTAGAGTGGCGACCAAAGACCGGAAAACGTAGTGCGGGCAGGCCTCCCGCTAGGTGGACCGACGACATCGTCAGAGTCGCGGGGACCCAATGGATACAGGTGGCAACTTGTCGTTCGACGTGGAGAGTTAAGGGGGAGGCCTTTGTCCAGCAGTGGACGTCTTCCGGTTGAGGATGATGATGATGATAAAGTATGACAAATTGTATATTATTCAACGCACCCAAGACATGGGAGAAAATTCTTGCATGGGGCAACGTTTTAGTTTTTTCTATTATGAATAACAGAATGATTTTAGGAACAAATATTGTACAAGACTCTCATTTATAAATATTAAAATATCCCCCTCTCAGGGCTTTTGGTTGTCCCCCTAAAAATGGGTCTTAATTATGACTTTTTTGAAGCATACATCGCCAGACGAGCAGTAGGATAACCTGATGAAGCAATCGGCATCATTCATGGTCACTCTCAACAACATTAGATGTAGATAAAGATAGGGATTTGAGGATAGGGAGAGGTAGAATTAGGCCTCCGATAACCTCAATCTAAATGATGGATACCAAATTATAGTGACAGTCAACAGCTGGACTGTATGCCTCTATGGCATAAAAGAGTTTGCCATAATCTTAAACGCCCGCCCAGAACCAGACCCGAGCGCAAGGCATGTTGCGTTCCGCCTTGAAGAGCCAATAGACCAACACAGACGGTCTCTATAGGGCTGATGTTCAGCCGGGGTTGCGGGGTAAACAAGCGCAATGAGGCACCGCGGCCTCGGCCCAGAGCAGGAGAAGGAACGGGGGGGTTTTTAGTCAGTAAGGGTCTGATAATCCCGTCCGCCACACCATGGACAGGAGAAGTCATTTGATGATTTTAAAAAGGAGGAATAGCACTTGTGATAAATGTATGGTAATCCACAATCATCGCGAATCAGAATTTAAACCTTAAAATATGATAAAGTTCGTTATTAAACGCACACAAAAGGGGTAGACAAAACGGAAGAGACGCGACCTATTGGTGGAAAGAGCTCGTTAGCGCGCCGTAAACTGTCATCCGGCAGCCATCTTTATACGTCACAGCCGCCATTGTGGTACGCCATCTTGGAAATTGATAATTGGAGGGAAATTTCTTTATAGCGATTTTTATTTATTTTTTGTTTTTGAATTGAGGTTTTTCCGGATGATTTTGTTATTGTAGCTATTGGTAGTTTTTACCCTATCAGCTGTCATCTTTCGGACATCTTTAGACGTCATAGACGCCATTTTGAAAAATGACAATCGGAGAGAAATTTTCATATTTGTCTTTAGTGCGAGTGTTCTTAGACATGTTTGACGAAATCGGTTGAGCCGTTTAAAAGTTATGGGGGGTAAGTGGGCAAGGGTAACCGAATGTCTGCAAATATACTCGAGTGGGGTCTCAAATGAAAGCGCATTGAAAGGGAATGTTGATAACTTAATCGAGAGGAAATTATATTAAACATTTCAAATAAAAAATAAATTAGACCCCCGACAAAATAGAAATATGTAGTTGATAATAAAATGTTTGGATCGGTCCCCCAATGAACGCCACGTTTTCTTTTAATTATTACTTTTAAAGGAATATTAGATCTTTTGTCGGGGGTTTTCTAAATTTTAAATTTATAATAGTTATTTATATAATAAAAGGAAAAGGAAAGAAGATTAACATGTATAAAACATCCATTAAATAGTGGAGAAATTTTGTATTAGCTTCGCTAGTAGGTATCACATAAAAAACAGTATAATTACTAAACATCACCTCTTTTCACAGGAATCTGACTAATCACCATGGGTGTCGCATCAGACGGTTTCACCAGCCAATGGTCAGCGAAGATAGCTGCCCTCCGGGAGTCCAGGAAGCTGGTGCTGGTCATCGTGGCTATCGCTCTACTCCTTGATAACATGTTGCTGACTACAGTGGGTAAGTTTCTTTGCTTTTGACACGAGCACGAATAAAGAGACGAGGAAGGGTAAATCGCCGCCCGAGCTAAACCAAACCCGAGCCAGAATGAGACAAAAACAGTAATAGTTACTTTTCAATATAATCTTAAGTCTTACTAATATTATAAATGCAAAAGTTACGATGAATGTTTGATAGTCGATCACGCCAAAACGGCTGGACGGATCTGGATTAAAATTGGCACGGGCATAGGATGCACTCCGGAATAGGACGTAGGCTACTTTTGATCAACATGCCACGCGGGTGAGGCCGCGGGCGGAAGCTAGTTTAATATGATTACTATAACTTTATGTATATACTATATTATATTTAAACCGATAAAACATAAGAAAATTTGTTACTTTTCACGAAAATACTAAACAAAAATGAATAAAACTTTACACAGATATACGTCTATATCAGTCTCAAGATTTTTATATGTATATTCTTACTTATATAAAAATCAATGCCACTTTTCGTTGTAATCTTATAACTCAACAATTTCAATCGATTTGGCTAATTTTGGTCTTTAATTATTCGTGGAAGTCCAATATAAAGTATGTACCTAGGTAGAGAAAATAAAAAAAAAAACTTGAAGAAGTGTAAAATCGACATCTACGCGGGTTGAGCCGCAAGCAACCGCTAGTATAGATATATAGATAATATTATAAAGAGGTAAAGTAAGTTTGTATGTAGGGGGTAATCTTTGGAACTGCTGGTCGGATTGCCAAAATTGTTTCACTGATAGATAGCTACAATGTTCCTGAGTGCTACAGGCTATAAAACAACACGCTACGATCAAATGGAGCGGAGCAGCTGGTGAAACCGCGCGAGAGTTACAAGTTTATTATAATTACAACACATAAAATTACTTTTCACACCAATATCGCTAGCAAAGCCGCCAAAAAGAAAACAGTTAGCACATAATTTAAGTGTGGGAGAGCCATGCTTCGGCACGAATGGGTCGGCTCGACCGGAGTGATACCACGGCCTCACAGAAAACCGGCGTGAAACAACCACAGCGTTGTGTTTCGCCGTGTAAGTGAGGTTACCGGAGGCCCAATCCTTCCCCTCCCCCAATCCCTCCTAAATCCCTAAATCTCCAAATCCCTAATCCCTAAAAGGTCGGCAACGCACTCGAAACTCCTCCGTTGCGAGTGTCCATGGGCGGCGCTGATTGCTTACCAGGTATCAAGGTAATCCGTCTGCTCGTTTGCCGATCTATTACCTACATAAAAAAAGTTAGCACATAATTCTATCGAAATAAAACCTCTTTCCTCTCAATCCATTTCAAAAAAAGAAACAAAAGCCGTTACCTATCGCGGAATACAAGATGGCGTTACAATCAAATAGAGTGGTGGGCTCTCATTTACAATTCATTAGTTACCCGTAATAGGGTATCGTTTCTTCTATTACCGCGGGGAATATCAGAGCTTTCTTTGTGAAATAAAGTATTACAATATATCCTAATGATTCTTAGTTTATTTCGGATATTTGTTTGATATTTAATCTTGGTGATAATGCGAATTCTTTACATTATCGTCAGTTTGTAACTGGCTGAGAATCAGGCTCTTGTCACACGGAGAAGGTTTGAGCATTAATCACCGCGTTTGCTCAAGGCGGATTGGCGATTTAATGTTTATAATTATGTTGAATGAACGCGGGTTGGATTCCCGCACGGAACACGATTCACAAATTGTTGTTCCGTGAGTCTGGGTGATTTATTAATGTGAATTTGTTTTGTAAACGCGCCTACAACACAGGAAGAAGTCCTAGTGTGGGGGCAACGTATGTTTTTCAAATAAAAAAAAGCTTATTATTAGAAACTATTACCTATTTACCCGCGGTTTTACGGTAAAAATTGAGATTCGTTTAAAAGTTTTCTTTCTGTGAAAGAGTAATAAACATCTACCAATACTTAAAAACTTTCGTATTTATTAATAGGATAAGTTCAGGTTTCCTCACGATGTTTTTCTTTAGTGCTGTCTAAAGAACCTTAGCATTTTACTGTTAAGTTAAATTTAGGTCTATGCTAGGTTTTAAACCCTCATGCATAAGAAACGAAGAACTAAAACCCTGGACCACCACGGCGTACAAATTAGTAATTCAAATTATTGTTAGTTAGTATTAAGATATAGCCTGCGGCTTCCCTCGTGGAAATAAGAAGCTGAATTTACTTCAAGCCCTTACTTAGATAGATAGATTTTTTATGAGGGGGAAATCAATTGTCTTTTCCTGTTAGGGTCGGGCGAAAGGGAGAATAAGTTACCGAAGCCTCGGCGTGAACCTTAAGAAGGAACGTGTTAGTTTTTTATCAATCAGAGTCTAACAAGTTTGATTATGTTCATTATTCTCAAATGTTTGACATGTATAACAATATAAAACGCATTGGGTATACAGTACAGATTATAACAACGTAAAGATTATATCGCCAACTTTTAAATAAATAAAAAATTAAAATTAAATTAAAATAAAAAAAACGCTCTCTCTCGCCTCACCCTGTTCGAGAGAAGCCATTGGATAATTTACCCCTCACAAAAAAGACTATCTCAAAAACGTAATTTGGCTCGTTTTTCAGGAATTTTCACAGAACATCGTGACATTGCAATTATAATTTTTAAATCGAGCGACTTAGCCAGCCTCTTGAAGTGGCTTCAGCGCTGAAACCGAACCGTGGTCCGCTACGGAAACGGGAGCAATTTGCTTGTCGACGCGATCAAAGTGAAATTCACTTAACCGCCTCATCAAAAGAGCCGACTGCTAGGGATGCGAGTCGGACGGTCGAGATTTTAGTTTATATCGATAAAATTATGTTTTAAGGTTTTTTTATTTTATGTTTTTCATACGTCTTTTTTTATACAAACGAGCATATGTATTACCTAGTGGTAACTAATCGGCGCTATTTCATCACCTATAAGGATTTGAGGTATTGGGTTTTCATTTTGTTTTTCTTCTAAGTAATGTATTGATTAATATCATTCTAAACTTCGAATCTGAATCCGCTGTGAGCAGTGCACTAGCGCTACACTTGTGAGTTGAACTAAATTGACCGCAACATTTTGATAGATATAGTATGAGATGACGTTAAAAGTGGCATTCTATAATGTAATTTCCCCGTCACTTCGACGCTCACTTCGACAAGATTCAAAATTAAACAAATTTTATAGAATCGACGTGAAGACTAAGTATGAGACAACGCTTTTGATAGCTTGCAACAACCAGGAGCTAAAAGAAAGTTGCCATTGTTTTAAAAAACAGACTAAAATATACATAAATATACTTAGTGTTACTTTTTATATGACAAGCGACCAAGCACGGAGAAATAAACTTGATTGAAGTGCAATAAAAAAGTATGGTGCAGCAATGACTGTAGAAATGCGTTAGCTATATGCATCTAAGCGTTGACAATAATTTTATAACAAATAATTTCTTTTTTATCGACACTTTATTTTATCGACACTATCCCCGCTCTATCTCAACCTCGAGTCCCCGGATTCGCATTGCAAATGAAATTTCATCTCGTTTTCACCCTTTCGCCCAGAGCCAGTGTTTAACTCAGTGTAATAGTTTAAAATTAGCCTTTTTGGCGTAAGATAGGTATAATAGGAACCAGACAGATGTTATTAAATTCTGTTGGTTTATATCTTAGTATTTGAAAGAGGATCTTTGACTGGAAATTAAATAAAAAAAAATCTTTGTTATAAAAAAAGAAGTAAGAAGTAAAATACTTTATTTCACGCTAAAAATCAAGTGGCATATGTACAGTCAGTACATTTTGATTTTTATTGTGATTTGAAAGAAAAATTATAAGCAACTAGTTCAGCTTTCCTAACGTTGTTTGTCTTGACCATTTTTAGCAGAGGTATCCAAAGGCTTCTCACATGGAGAAGGTTTGAGCATTAATCACAAAGCTTGCTCAATGCGGGTTGGCAATTTCAAATTTATAATCAGAAATTATAAGTCCAGGTTTCCTCACGATGTTTACCTTTACCGTATGTCAGTGGTGTCTAAATAGCCATAGAAAGTACATGTAATTCGGAAAAAGTCACATTGGTACTTGCCAGGTTTCGAACCTGCACCCTCATGTATGAGAAGCGGGCGCGTTAACCTCCGGGCTACCACGACATATAGGTATTTAAATTAACTCGGAATATTATCGATCAAATCAATGAAACTAAACTAAATTATTAAATAATTCACCCGATTTCATTTCGAAATCAGGTCAAAATCATTGACACCCGAATTTGAAAGCCTCTCATTCATATAGAGAGCTCGTGAAACGACAGGTCAATTCTGAACGCAGGGATCCAATCGGCGGAAATGGCCGAACTTTTCCGAAGTTTACCGAACCATTTATTAAGTTATGAGAGCGAGTTGATGTAAGTGATAAAATGTTTTTTAGGAATTTTATTTTATTCTAAGACTAGCTTCTTCTTGCGGTTTCGCACAGGGCCTCGAGTCTGCTATTACAATAGTGTCAGAATAGTAGATCATTGGTTACAAAATTGTTGATTTTGAAAAGTTTGTTAATCTACTAACACGATAGCGTCATTATGACTTTCCAATGCCGAAGTGGCATTGAAATAATTCTTTACAATGGTAATCTCGTACATAATGACAAATGAATATTTGACATAATGCGGTAAATTAATAAAAAAAATGACAGTTCCTTTATTCAATGATTTACGTTTAGAATATTAATGTGCAGTTATTGTTTATAATTCGTTACAAAGACATCTCGTACTATAATTCTATTACAACATCGCCGAACGCCAATGATCAGCCATTTTGAATTAACAGATTACGAACTTTTAGCAAAATGACAATGGAATCGTGTAGGAATGACAACACTTTGAAAACAGTAGACTCGGGCCTCAGGTATAAAAGTAATAAGTAGGTATATCCCGGTTTTTCAAAATAAGAGCGTCTATAGCGATAAATCGATCGATTGAAATACGCAAATCAATGTGTAATTTATAGCCTATACTACTCAGAGAAATTGTTGCTATCTATCAGTGAAAGAATTTTGGAAATCGGACCAGCGGTTTCAAAGACTACTCCCTACATACAAACCTACAATTACCTCTTTATAATCTACATATGTACGAGTATATAAAAATCAATGCCAGTTACCCGCAAGGTGGACGACGTGATTAAGGTCGCAGGAAGCCGCTGGATGCAGGTCGCTTCCAACCGACCTATCTGGAAGTCAATGGGGAAGGCCTATGTTTAGCAGTGGACGTCCTGTGTCTGATATGATGATGATGATGATGAATGCCAGTTATCATTGTAATGTTATAACTCAACAATTCCTTTACCGATTTGGCTAATTTTAGTCTTGAATTATTCGTGGAAGTCCAGAGAAGGCTTGTACTTAGAGAAAAAAAACTCTTTAATAAGTGTAAAGTCGACATCCTCGCACGTTTAGGCGCGTGCGACCGCTCGCATTAATATAAAAAACTAATCCAAATTGTTTGTTACAGTACCAATAATACCGGAGTTTCTCTACGACATCAGACACCCTGATGCACCGCTCTCCATGTCTTTGGAGGATATCACGTTACCGCCCCCCTCACCCACACCGTACTGCCCCTGTATGCAGCCCAACATTACAAGCATACTGCAAAATGATACTCAAACACGTAAGTATACGCTTTAGATAAAAACAAGGTCAAAGTCAAAGGTCAAAGGTAAAGTCAAGGTGAAAGTTAAGTATACACTTTTGACAAAAACAAACTCAAATGTCAAAGGTAAAGTGAAAGTCAAAGTCAACGGTCCTAGGTAAAGTCAAGGTCAATGTTAAAAGTCGAACTTACACATTAGACTAAGTTAATTTGACTTTGTCTTCTCTGTTAGTTTACAAGTAAATAGATGAACAATGCGTTTTTAAAGTAAAAATACATGATAGAGTACTGTAGAATTACATACAAACAAATTTGTATTTGTTTTAAACATACAGGCAAATATCGCCTTCAAGGTCGTAGGGAACGTTAAAGGATATGGTAAGGTCAAAGGTAAAGTCAAGGTCAAAGTTAAAAGTCAAACCAATACGAAGGACAAAGTCACAAGCATTAAGCAAAAAGCCGAACAATATGTTTTTAAAATTAAATTACAATAATTTTTAAAATACAGACAAATATCAACATTTAGTTCTTAATTAAGGAAAACGACTGGCAAGGGTAAAGTCAACTTTAAAAACAGTAATTGTCAAGCAATTACTTACAGCTCAAATTTTCCATCAAGAATACAATTTTAAACATCAAATTTATAATTTTAATAAAAAAATTAATCAAAATAAGGTCAAGGTCAAAGTCAAGGTCAAAGTCAAAAAACAAATTGTTTTTAACACGCCATGTTATGAAATGCGTTTGATTGCAGTAAACCTGACAGCACAGAGAGAGGAAAGACATCAGGAGCTGATTCATGAGACTGTGGCCGTTGGTGTGATGTTTGCCAGTAAGGCTCTGGTGCAACTCCTGGCTAATCCATTCGTTGGACCACTCACCCATAAGTAAGTTCTCAACGCTTATGATATTTGAACAGCCAGGCTTTGCACGTCGATTCTATAAAATTTGTTTGAATTTTGAATCTTATTCGAGTGTAAAATGAGCGGGGAAAATTACATTATAGAATGCCACTTTTAACGTCATCTCATACTTTATCTAGCAAAATGTTGCTGTCAATTTAGTTCGACTCGCAAGTGTAGCGCTAGTGTACTGCTGAAAGCGGATCCTGATTCGAAGTTTAGAATGAAGTCTTACATAATCACACTGCTGGTGTTGGAGGTGTCCATAGGCAGCGAATATCGCTTACCATCAGATAATCCGTCTGCACACTAGCTCCCCCATACAATAAAATGATATAAACAGCATAACACAAAGGTTTAGACAGAGGTTGATATAAATATCGTTACAGGAGACATCCATTTTTCACCAGAGATTCTTTGTTCTTTTTTTAAGCAATTCATGACTGAAAAAAATTCAGTAATTTTAGATAATTCTTTTAAAATTTTTTATGCACTTGGTACAGTGTTTTTTTTATTATTTAATATGTCGGCAAACGAGCAGACGGATTACTTGATGGTAAGCAATCAGCGCCGCCCATGGACACTCGCAACGGAGGAGTTACGAGTGCGTTGCCGGCCTTTTAGGGATTTGGAGATTTAGGGATTTAGGAGGGGTTGGGGGAGGGGAAGGATTGGGCCTCCGGTAACCTCACTCACACGGCGAAACACAACGCTGTGCTTATTTCACGCCGGTTTTCTGTGAGGCCGTGGTATCACTCCGGTCGAGCCGACCCATTCGTGCCGAAGCATGGCTCTCCCACACTTAAGGCTGGTTGACTTTTATAGATGCAGGGTAAAAGTCAAAGTCAAACTCAAAACGATTATTGCAACTTAGTGTACAGTCGTTATCTTGATAATTATGTAAAAATTAAAAACAAAATGAGTTGGTAAGCGCATAACTCAGCAGCGGCTGGAGCAATTTAGCTAAATTTTTTTTTGTTGTGTTATTTATTACCAGTTCTTCAGTCTTATTAAAGTAAATTTTTGAAAAGTATAGGGGAGAATTGGTAAAAATTTACCTTTTTGTTGTTAGCGAAATAGTTGGACCCTTGCGAAGCGTGGCTGAGCCGCCGCTAGTCTTCAATAAATTTTGCATATGTCGCAATAAAAATTAAATGAACTTTTACTGAATTAACTCAAAATCGCGGGTTACTCACGTGTGTAACCCGCGATTTTTAGTTAATTTAGTATGTCTCACGATAGTCATTATAAGAACTTTGACTGATTAAAAACTATTGATAGAAAAAACCTAAAATTGTATTATAATTAAAAAATGCAATAAAATAAAATTTCTTTATTTCAGACCCATAATAGTCCATAGATTGTTAGTGTATTAGTTACCAAAAAGTTTTTATGTACTATATTAGTATAGTTAGTGACCTATAGCTAATTCCACCCAGTGTCTCTGTATCGGACAATCCGGCCTATCAGCAATTATTTTCAGGATGCTGTTACGAGTGTTGCGCAAGCGTTGCTGTAAGGATAACCGCGTTTTTACGCATAATAATAGATTACATAGTTAGGTTTAAAAGTCGGACATTTTCTTCTTGAGAGAAAAGAAAATATGGTATAAAAATACTTCGCTCAATGACGAATCTAATTCCAGTTTCTCGCTCAGTATAGTGACACTTGTATCCAGTTAAATTACAACTGTAACTAATGCTTGTATTGTTACAGGATTGGCTACAGCATACCTATGTTTACTGGATTTATCCTGATGTTCCTGTCCACTCTAAGTACGTAAAAAGAAGTTTTTATTTATATCTCATCAACACACACCTAAAACTGGATACTGCTGAGCAAAGGCCTCTTCTCACACAGAAAAATTTAAGCATATTAATTACAACGCTCGCTCAAGACGGATTGGCAATTTCAAACTTATAATTAGAAATTATGAGTCCAGGTTTCCACACGATGTTTTCCTTCACCGTATGTCAGTGGTGTCTAAATAATATCATAGAAAGTACATATTCATATAACTTGGAAAAAGTCACATTGGTACTTGCCAGGTTAAACCCTCATGCATGAGAAGCGGGCGCCTTAACCTCCGGCCCACCACAACATCCAAATAATAAACAAAAATAGGATTACAATATTTTTTTTATTTCCAGTCTTCGCCTTCGGCCGTTCATACTCGGTGCTCTTCATTGCTCGAGCGCTGCAGGGCATAGGATCCTCCTGTTCCTCTGTCTCCGGGATGGGCATGTTAGCTGAAAGATACCCTGATGATAAGGTCAGTATACCAGCCCTTTCACTTTATTTTTTGGGCAGTTTCAGATATTTTTTTCATGTGATAGGACGGCAAACGAGCTGACGGATTACCTGATGGTAAGCAATCAGCGTCACCCATGGACACCAGCAACGAAGAAGGAGTTACGAGTGCGTTGCCGACCTTTTAGGGATTGGGATTTTGTGGATTTAGGGATTGGGAAGGGATTGGGGTAGGGGAAGGATTGGGCCTCCGGTAACCTCACTCACCCGGCGAAACACAACGTTGTGGTTGTTTCACGCCGGTTTTCTGTGAGGCCGTGGTATAATTCCGGTCGAACCGACCAATTCGTGCCGAAGCATGGCTCTCCCACACTTAAAAAGCAATATATATTTCGTTGTGGGATCCAAGACAGATGTTCAAGGCCTTATAACGCGATGGGCAACTTTACAAGTTATATTTACATTCTTCAAGAATACCAATTCATTTTACATTTACACTTCTTCGATGTGGTTCTACCCGCATTTAAAAGAGTCTAGCTTATGCCCGCGACTTTGTTCGCGTGGAATAGTGACTTCTAGCATTTTTGGTTTAAAAGCTATCAAAATGTTTCTCGAGTTCCAAACTATATCTGCACCAAATTTTACACAAATAGGTTCAGTAGTTTAGGAGTGAAGAAAAAGAAAAGACAGACAGACAGGCAGAGTTACTTTCGCATTTATAATATTAGTTTGGATGTGTCCCGTGTTTTTAAGAACAGTAGCGTAGATAGCTGGATTAGCGCATATCATTTTAGAGCCTATAGCACTAAGAAAAATTGTAACTATATATCAGTGAAAGTGTTTTGTAAATCCGACCAGCAGCGGTTCCAAAGAGAAAGAAAACCTCTTGATAATATTAGTGTAAACTTATCGACGGCTCAACTGACTCATCCCTTGGTGGGCTGGCTGAGCCATAAAAATAAATTAACTTTATTGTACCCCAAAAGAGTTGACATGCATAGTACAAAATTAGAGAATCCAAAATACTGGGTACAAAGGCGGCCTTATCGCTAAAAGCGATCTCTACTAGGCAACCTTTAGGTGGACGGAGTATTGTAGCAGTGGGTGGCAGTCTAGGTGTAACAATAGAATTAAAAACATTTACAAACTACATACAATATTCATGCATACATACACACATATACACATACATACATACATACATACACATATAAATACATACATACATACATCAAATATATAACTATAATTATAGCGTGGTCAGATAATGTTCCTTTACGAGCGATTTGAAAGTGACAAGGGACTGTGCTTGTCTAATGGAGACTGGTGGAGCATTCCACAGTCGAACAGCTTGCAGCACAGCCAGGTGGAGCATTCCATTCCGTTCAGGGTCGGGCAGGGAGTAGCAGGCTCTTACTGACTAGAAACCCCCATTCCTTCTCCTGCTTTAGGCCTAGGCCACGGTGCTCTATCGTTTACCCCGCAAGCCCGGCTGAACATTAGCCCTATAGGGCCCCGTCTGTAGTGGTCTATTGGCTCTTTGAGGTGCGCGCGGAACGCTACGCGCCGTACGCTCGGGCTTGGTTCTTATCGGGCAGCGAGCTGCCCTTACTCGCCGTCCGCAGAACCGCGCTTACATTGGCCGGTGATCGTCTCTTAATGGGTGTACCTTAGAATAATTATTCTAAGTACGCATTACGTTTCAGTCCATGTGACAGTGAAATAACTCACAGCAAAGATTATTACAAACTTCTTGACAGTCCAGCAATCAATTGTCAAGGCTTATTGTTGATGACGATGTCGGAGGACCACTCAGATGACTTTTAAATGTTCTTTTGTTTCCAGGAACGAGGAAATGCAATGGGTATCGCCCTAGGTGGACTGGCCCTGGGTGTCCTCATAGGCCCGCCATTTGGAGGTCTTATGTACGAGTTTGTTGGAAAGACCGCACCATTCCTGATGCTGTCCGCTTTGGCATTAGGAGACGGATGTACGTATTACGACCTTAGTGGCTTTTCATTCATTTTCATATAAATGTAGGTGTTTTTTTTCATATCATATGTCGGCAAACGGGCTGACGGATTACCTGATGGTAAGCAATCAGCGCCGCAAATAGGCACTCGTAATACCAAATGAGTTACTACAAGTGCGTTGCCGGCCTCTTGTGGGTTATAAGGGATTTCAGGATAGGAGATTTGAGGATTTAGGATGGGCGGAGAAAATTGGGCCTCCGGTAACCTCACTCACACGGCGAAACACAACGTAGGTGTTACTTAACGCCAGTTTTCTGTGAGGCCGTGGTATCACTCCGGTCGAGTCAGCCCATACATGCCGAAGCATGGCTCTTCCACAATTAAAAATGAAAAAGGGATAAACTTTTGTGACTCACACATAGAATTCCTTTATCTGGTACCTACATAGAGATTATTAAGACATTGTGAAAAAATCCTTACTGTTATGTAAGTCTTGTTAACTGTATGTTGATAAGCTCAATCTTTTTGAGTGTTTTTTCGAGTTATTTAATAAGTATTTATAGACTTTCTAAGATTATTTAGACACCACTGACAAACGGTGAAAGAAAACAGCATGAGGAAACCTGGATTTATAACTTCGAATTGTTTTAGTTTGAAATCTCCGGTCTGCCTTGAGCAAACGTGGTGGTTAATGCTCAAACCTTCTCCGTGTGAGAATAGGCCTTTGCTCAGCAGTGGGCACTTATGAGCTGATGATGTGTTATCTTGGTTGGATGAATGCAAGTTAGGACCTTGTCTCTCGAGGAAGAAATATCAGGTTCAGTTCATTATTTGTTTGTGTTTTCTAAAAAAAAAAATACCTAACCGGTACAAGAATAAGTCTTGTACCGGTTAGGTATTTTTTTTTTTTTTGATGAGAATAAATGTCAAGTGTCTTCTCTCGCTTTACCCAGGGCGAGTGTCAGACTTTTGCTGACTAAAAACCCCCCCGTTCCTTCTCCTGATACAGGCAGAGGCCTCGGTGACTTATTGCGCTAAACACCAACCCTTTTAGGCCCACATCTGTCAGTAGTGGTGTATTGGCTTTTTTTTTACTTGCAATAAACTAGTGCTTGACTGCGATCCCACCTGATGGTAAGCAGTGATGCAATCGCTGATGGTAAGACGCACTAGTTTATTAAGAGCCTATTCACTCTAGCCTTGAAGACACTTTAAATAAAAATAAAATGAATTCGGACGGAAAGACTGCAGCCGGCAAACTGTTCCAATCCCTCGATGTACGCGGTATAAATGACGAGGCAAAACGCTTAGTCCGGGCCGCAGGTGGCTCTTTAAGGCGCGTGCAGAACGGAAAAAGATTGTGTGAACTGATTCCTTTCTTTTTTTCTTTTAAAATTAACGTTGCCCCAGACTAGGATTTTCCTTCTTTCTTCCTTTTTTTTTCTCCTGTGTCGTGGGTGACAAACATACAATTTCAAAAGACACCCAGAGTCGTAACAACAATTGACTAGTCTACTAGTCTGCCTACGCCTTCGGACGTGAAGCGTAATGTTAGTCTTTATACACGAGTGCACTGAGAGATATTATTTCATTAGTTTTCATCAGATACATGACTCGTTCTTACAGCCCACGCTCCATTAAGGAAGCGTATATTTGTATGATGTTGTTATTTTCTTAGACTCAGATCCGAGTATTTGTTACCGCTATGGTTTAATATTACTTAATACGGAAATAGTATTATATGTAGTTCTCTAGTTGCTCGGCTCCTACAGATCGCAGCGTGATGTTTTATAGCCTATAGTACTCAGGAACATTGTAGCTATCTATCAGTGCAGCAGAATTTTGGAAATCCGCCCAGCGGTTCCAAAGATTACCTCCTACATACAAACTTACAAACATACTTTTACCTCTTTATAATATTAGTATAGATATTTTTTCAGCTAATTTATATAAAGGAACAGTATTTCACTTACACCAGATTTTTCAATAGTCAGATAAATGTTTTAAACTGAGGAATAAAATTGTTGCTGTCACTGTCTTATACAAACATTCTGACGCGACAGCATCATTAATTATTCCCCAGGTAACTTTTATCTAACCATTGAAAATACAGCGTTTAACAAAACTAAACACGCAAAAGAAAATTCACAGAATACTGACGATTTGAAAATAACAACAACACTGAATAGTTTTTAAAATTAATAAAAACTAAACACATTGATATTAAATTGAATCTCCAAGTGATATAACATCATCAGCTTTTAAGTGTCCACTGCTGAGCAAAGGCCTCTTCTCACACGGAGAAGGTTTGAGCATTAACCACCACGCTTGCTCAACGCGAATTGGCGATTTCAAACTTATAATTAGAAATTAGGGGTGCCAACTGAAAATCAGTGTTGGGTGCTCTATGCCCAGCTTTTGCTGAGTTGGCGACCCATTCGGATTGGGCATGTCCGCCAACCCAGGTTTGTATTATTGTACTTTGTTAGGCTGTTTTTACGTTATTGTTTTGATTAATTTTATTTTTATTTTATTTTATTGCCCTGTTACTTCAAACTTTTTATTGTTTTGTTTTTTTTATTGTTGTATATATTTTTTTTTTGTTTGTTCTCGGCCTCCATGTCTCAGTCCGAATAAAAACAATTTTCATTCTTCTTTCTTTCTTTCATTCTAAATTACAAGTCCTCACGATGTTTTCCTTCACCGTACGTCAATGGCGTCTAAATAATCATAGAAAGTACATATAACTCGGAAAAAGTCACATTGGTACTTGCCAGTTCCATGTATGAGAAGATGGGCGCCTTATCTCCGACCAAATGATATACCTTAAAATGGTTTTCTTTTTCTTCTTCCAGTACTTCAGCTGATGATCTTGCAACCAGGCGTGGTGCGCCAGGAGTCGGAACCACCTTCTCTGAAGGCCCTGGTCTCTGACCCTTACATCCTAATCGCCGCAGGTCTGTATACAAACCTTCGCAAAACAAGCCAACAGTCTGATGGAAAGCAAGTTTTTTGCTTTGTATTCTGAGGTTTTTTGATATGCAGTTTTTGATGTCAAAGGTCGACAAAAGACTGATGGTACTGGTGAACTTAATGGTAAGCAATCAGCACCGACCAAAGACTTTCCTATTATCAAGTGAGTTAGTACAAGTGCGTTGGATGGGGTGGTTTTTAGCCAATAAGAGTCTGCAACTCCCTTTCGTCCCGTCGAGAGAGAAAGAGAGAGATAGAGAGATAAAGAGTTAGAGAGTTATAGTTAGTGTGAGAGATAGTGTGTGAGAGAGATAGAGAGAGAGAGGGATTCAATTGACGATTTACCCCTTAGCTTGGCAACTGGCTGTCGCGCAACGTGTCGCGGTTTTGATTCTTGCATGGAACAAGTCTTTGTGTGATCCACAAATTGTTGTTCCGTGTCTGGGTGTGATGTACGTGTATGTGACATTGTACGTTTGTAAACTCACCCACGAACACAGCAGAAAATCCTAGCGAGGAGCAAAGTTATTTTTGAAAAAAAATGACTAGTACTATGTCCAGCAGTGGACGGAAGTCAGGCTGATGATGATCATGATAGTCTGCCTCACTCAGTAACTGATAACAAGAGTATTTCTGTCTTCCAGGAGCCATAACCTTCGCAAACGTTGGCATTGCCATGTTGGAACCCAGTCTTCCGATCTGGATGGCTGATACAATGGAAGCTCGACGCTGGCAGCAAGGAGTCGCCTTTCTACCAGCTAGCATTTGCTATCTGATTGGTACGTATTTATTTTTTGGCAAATACGCCGTAGGATTACCTGATGGTAAGCAATCGGCAGTCGTGCTACAGTCGTGGATCAATAAAATTTGTTTCTTTTTATGTAATAGTTCGGCAAACGAGCAGACGGATTACCTGAGGGTAAGCAATCAGCGCCGCCCATGGACACCCACAACGGAGGAGTTACGAGTGCGTTGCCGACCTTTTAAGGATTAGGGATTTGGAGCCTCAGGGATTAAGGAGGGATTGGGGGAGGGAAAGGATTGGGCCTCCGGTAACCTCACTCACACGACGAAACACAACGCTGTGGTTGTTTCACGCTGGTTTTCTGTGAGGCCGTGGTATCATTCCCGACCCATTCGTGCCAAAGCATGGCTCTCCCACACTTGTTTGATTTTGAATCTTGTTCGAGTGTAAAGTGAGCGTCGAAGTGATGCGGATATTACATTAAAGAATGCCACTTTTAACGACATCTCATACTTCATCTATCAAAATTTTGCGGTCAATTTAGTTCAACTCGCAAGTGTAGCGCTAGTGTACTACTACTCACGGCGGATTCAGATTCGAAGTTTAGAATGAAGTCTTACAGAATCACACTGCTGGACTTATAATTTCTTATTACAAGTTTAAAATTGCCCATACGCCTTGAGCAAGCGTGGTGGTTATTGCTCAAACCTTTCTCAGTGTGAGAAGAGTGTTGAGTGCCTTTGCTTAGCAGTAGAACCTTATAGGCTGATGATGAGAACACTAGCAACCAGAGTAGTTTTAAGTGCGTTGCTAGCCTTTTCGGAAATAATGGGTAATAGGGATTACTGGGTTTTTAGTTAGTTAGACAGTCGGTGACCTCACTCATACAGCGAAACACAACGCTGTGGTTGTTTCACGCCGGTTTTCTGTGAGGCCGTAGTATTAATCCGGTCGAGCCGATCCATTCTTGACGAAGCATGGCTCTCCCATACATTTTTATTAATATACTAGCTATTCTCGCGCGGTTTCATCCGCTGCTCGGCATTTGATAGTAGCGTGATGTTTTAAAGCCAAGCACTCAGGAACATTGTAGCTATCTATCAGTGAAAGAATTTTGGCAATCCGACCAGTGGTTCCAAAGATTACCCCCTACATACAAACTTACAAATACCTCTTTATAATATTAGTTTAGATCATAGCATGGCTCTCCCATACTTTTCCTTTTATTATTAGATGTGACATGTTTCTTTAATGTTAATTTACTTTTAGGAACTAATCTGTTTGGACCTCTTGGACATAAGATGGGACGATGGCTGGCTGCTTGCTCTGGACTCATTATCATTGGACTATGTCTCATCTTGGTAAGTTTCTATCATTTGGTGTCACCACCTTTTATGTACCCATATCAATTTATTTATATGATTTGAACGTTCATACATACAGTGTGTAAAAAGACACTTAACGAAGCCGTTAACTACGCATACTGCAGTTCTAACTAAGTAGCTTTACGCTAAAATTATCACTGGGAAACGACTTTTATTTTTAGGTATCAAAAAACATAATAATTTTGTGCGGGTTGGCATTTATTTATTACGTACATTACTGTTCGTAACTTCAAATGCATAATTTATTTAGAAAAATCGAAAATTCAGGTAATGTTTGTTTGAAAAAAAATAATAGATACTTAGAACTCGATTGCACAAAAAAAAAATTTAAAATGCATCTTTGACCTTCTATATCTCGAGAACTCGTGGAGTCCCAGCTATGGTCTTAAAGAAAAAAATATCCAAAAAATGGGTAGAATACGTGGCTTTCGGCTTCGTTAAGTGTCTTTTTACACCCTGTATAATTACGCGGGTATTATTAACGCGAAAAGTAATTATTTAAATACCTTGACGTTTCGACCTGATTGCACAGGTCGTGGTCATATTTTCGCGTTAATACCCGCGTAATTATATATTATGTTGTAATCCTCAAAAAAGCAACGCGTCAGTCCATGGACGAGTGTTGCTTTCGGCTTCGTTAAGTGTCTTTTGACATATATTTTGGTATAATTTTCGAGTTTTTTTAGCTAATTTTCTAAAAATAACTAAATAAGCTATTTGACGCAAAAATACTATGCCGTCATAATATGTAATTACATACAATTTATTAGAAAAGTATCGTTTTCGACATTTGGATAAAAGTATTGAATTTGACAAGTTGGAAACTACCTTATTGTTTTTTTAATTTTATTTTTAATGAAGATGTTGCCCCACACTAGGATTTTCTTTTGGGTACGTTTGTAAACATTCAAATTCATATACACATCACACCCAGACATGAAATAACAATTTATGGATCACATGTAGTGTTGTTCCGTGTGAGAATTGAATTTCGATTCCCGCACGGAACAACTCTTTGTGTGGTCCACAGATTGTTGTTCCTGGTCTGGGTGTGATGTGGATTTGAAATTGTATGTTTGTAAACGTACCCACGACACAGGAAAAAATTCTACTGGGGCAACGTTTTTAAAAAAAAGAGAAAAAAAGAGAAAGAATGTCAAAACCGACTAAATGATGTAACAAAGAAATGAATTGTGAAACTGATTGACAAAGAGTAACCATGGAGTTTCTTGCTCGTTCTTCTCCATAGGAATCTACACTTTGGAACGAGCAAATAGCTTCACTAGAAGACTGACGGAGACAGACGGACAGTCTGACACGCATAAACTTAAACCTCTTGGAATATTTATATTAAACCTCTTGGAATATTATTATTTTTCTTTTTTTGCTTGACCTTCAAAAGTGCCTAAGTGGTCTATTTCAAATAAAATTAATGATTTTGACTTTTCACTTTTTTTATTTGAACGAGGGAAATACTCAAAGAGCCGATTCTAGTGCTCTTGTCACAATTCAAATATGGAAATGTAATAAAAAGTTTTTACACCATGCAAAATGATTACCTAATTATCTGTTTCGAGTCTTTGCAGGGTGCCACCTGAAAATCAGCGTTGAGCATATTTGCTCAACTTTAAGCTGAGGTGGAGGCCCTTTTGGCATGGGCACGTGAATATTATTATTTTAACGTTTTATTTTCGTTTTTTTTTTCTTTTTTAACACTTTATATGTTATTCTTGTTTTGTTTATTAATTTATTATTGTATTCATAAATAGGTACTGTGTTCTTATTATGTATTTTTATATACTTGTATTTGTGTGCCTATTTGTCGAATAAATGTGTTTTCTTTCTTTCTTTCGATTTGTATGGGGAAATAAACTTAACTATGAGATTGCGATATATATTATTCGTATCGAAAAAGTTATTGTAGATAATTGGGGACCAAAATCGGCTCCTTGTGGAATATGTCCCTCGTTCACTGTATAAGAATATTTGTTTCAGAACCGAAAAACCTTGTGTTAAACGCTTTACTTAATATTATAAATACGAAAGAATTCTGTCTTTTCCTAACGCCTAAACTACTGAACCGATGTCTGTGAAATTTGGTACAGACATAGTTTGGAACTCGAGAAAGGACATGGAAAGTTTTTATACTTACCAAAAATCTGCAAGAAGTCACTATTACACGCTAACGAAGTCGCGTTCCAAAACTAGTAATATTATAAATGCGAAAGTAACTCTGTCTGTCTAACTGTCTTTTCTTAACGCCTAAACTACTGTACCGATTTCTGTGAAATTTGGTACAGACATAGTTTGGAACTCGAGAAAGGACATAGGATAGTTTTTATACTAAAAATCTGCAGAGTTTCATTGCATTGTTTCATGCATTCCAAGTATATTATAAAATAATATATGAAAATTTCGATATTTTTTCTTACAGATCCCGATGGCTCGTAAGCTGGAACACCTGATTATCCCCAACGCTGGTCTTGGCTTCGCTATTGGCATGGTAGACTCCTCCATGATGCCCGAACTTGGTTTCCTGGTCGACATCCGTCATGCTGCTGTATATGGATCCGTGTATGCCATTGGAGATACCGCTTTCTGTCTTGGATACGCCGTTGGTAAGTTTAGAGTACCTTACTACATTACACCACCACGATTCTTCGGGTGGGTATGACATACCCTAAGGCTTTGACTACATTACAGGCAATAGCTCTCTCTGATGAACCTGAACTATTTAAACTGCAATCCTCAATAAAGTAGTTTTTTAAGGCATACGGCGGCAAGCCTGATGGTAAGCAATCAGCGCCACCTATGGACATTTCCGCTACACCATAGGGTTGCAAGTGAGTTGTCAATCTGTTGCGGATTGTTTTAGCTGATTTAGAGATGGGGGGAGTGGAAGTATTGAACCTGCGGTAACCTCACTCACACGGCGAAACACAACGCTGTGGTCCTGTCACGTCAGTTTTCTGTAAGGCCATGGTATCACTCCTGTCAAGCTGGCCTATTAAACTAAGCGGTGTTTTATGGCATAGGACGATAAGCAGGCCTCGGCTGATAGTAAGCAATCAGCGATAGCCATGGACTTCTGCTACAAAAGAGGTTTTACGGTTACAAGTGCGTTCTTGTTTTGGGGATTCGAGTTTAAGGATGGGGAGATTTGAGATGGACTTTCTTATTGACAGCCAAACCGTTTCGTGATTTTTACAAAACTTACATAATTAAAATATGTATCTACTAGCGACCCGCCCCAGCTTCGGACGTGTGCAACGCTGATACTAAATTTCTGCACTATTTAATGGATCTTATTATACATATAAACCTTCCTCTTCAATCACTCTATCTATAAAAAAGCCGCATCAAAATCCGTTGCGTAGTTTTAAAGATTTAAGCGTACATAGGGATATAGGGACAGAGAAAGCGACTTTGTTTTATACTATGTAGTATATTGAGTATTTCTGACTCATGGCGTCACGTTTGCTCCTAGGACCGGCCCTGTCAGGAGCCTTGATGAACAGCATCGGCTTCGAATGGATGCTGGTCATCATAGCTGTGCTTAACTTCAGCTACGCCCCGTGCCTCCTGTTCTTGAGGTCGCCACCGGCTAGAGATGAAAAACAGGTACGATATTTTTTGTAGGATCGAACGGCAAACGAGCAGACGCATTAGCTGATGGCCAATGGATAAGCCATCGGCACCGCGCATGGATACCCGCAACAACTGACAAATGAGCTACGAGTGTCTTTCGGGGATTCGGGTTTTGGAGATTTAGGAATTGAGTCACATTGGATTGATAACTTGAAACATTTCATTGATTTGTCAATAGTCAGATAAATTTTATTCAAATTAACAAACAGGCGACTTTTTATACACACACCACGCATGCTAACCCGCGGGCAGTAGCTGGTATGAAATAATAATGAAATATTTCTTTCCAGAGCCTAATAATAAGCGACAAATCATCAGTCCGCTACGTAAGCTACCAAAACGAAGAAGAAGAATAAAGACGCCATCTTGTCCCGCCAAAATATTCCCGCCATTTTTTGACGTTTATAAACTCGGGAGTTTTTTTTTATAATGGGGTTTGCTTAGACGTCAAAGGAGTTATTATAGTTAAAAAAATAATATTAATATATTTCTATTTATACTGTAGGTAATATATTGCCCAAAATTGTATATTTTGAAATCATATCTAATATACATACTTCTACTAATATATAATTATATTTTGTGTCTGTCTATGAACTATGATATTTCTTATACAACTATTTCTAGATATCTTCTCTGTAGATAAAATACTTCTGACCAATTTTGCTCTATGACCTAAAACTGTGGCTTTTAATATTGTCTCTAATTATATCATGTATACTTCGTCGTTATAATATTATAGGAATGATAGCAATATTGTATAGTGACAAAAATAAAAAAAATCTATGACCAGGAATATTTATGAAAAAGGTTTATATGTATACTTATTTAAAACTGTAAAATTATTTTCATGACATTATAATAGGTATGTATATTTATTTTAAATCAAACAATGATTCTAATCAATACTAACGTTGTTTTTAAATAAGATAAACAGGAATTATCAACATTTATCAAAATTTCATATTCTCGTGAAAATTTCTTCTATGTAATACTAAATAAAAATATATAATAAAAACATAGCTTAGACTAGACCAAAGCGTGTTTTAGCTAAATAAAATACATATTTAAAATTCAATATTCAAAATAAATAAATTTATAAAATGTATTCGTAATAATACATAGCGATATCGAATTAATATTTTGGCTTTCACGATAATTATATACTTACAATATTATATAAAATATACAATTTTAATATTATTATATACATATTATATAATTATGTACCTAATATTTAATTTTGCAAAGGTGACTTTGACAATATTTCTTTTATAATAATTATATAATAAAAAAATTATTATTAAAAAAACAAAATACCCGACTGCACACTAAAAAAAGAGTAAAACAAGCCCCACAATACAAATTTACTGAATATAATTTATAAATGTTGATGGAAAGCATCGCAGGCGGGGACCAACAGAGGCTTATTTATAGTCATTTCTGTTGTGCACCATTTAGCAGAATTTTCGTTGGTGGCGGTCAAGGTGGTCCCCGCCTGCGATGCTTTCCATCAACATTTATAAATTATATTCAGTAAATTTGTATTGTGGGGCTTGTTTTACTCTTTTTTTAGTGTGCAGTCGGGTATTTTGTTTTTTTAATAATAATTTTTTTATTTATAACTTTTAAGCTGTTTTTATTTAACGAACGAAAAAATCGCTATTTAGAGACGACCGTCAACGACGTGTGCCCTTATGCGTGTGCCCGCATTCGGGCTGTATACTCGAGCATATCCCCCTCCGCACCGCGCCGCGCGCCGCATGCCAGGCCACGCCCTATCTTTTTGCTTGCTAACGCATGAGTTGCTTTGCGTTGACGCAGAATTAACATGTTCCCGTGGGAATTTTGAGAAAAAAACGTATCCTATATTAATTACTCCCGTGATTGAAATGAATCTAATGATACCGCATACATATTTTTTTAAAGGGAAATTTAGAAAAAATATTATTATGTCCTTATCCCGTGGGACTTTTAGGATAAAATGTATCCTATGACACTCCCGTAATCAAGACAAATCTAACGATACCTCATACATCAAAATCCATCAAGCCGTTTAGGCTACAGGAGGTCACAAAGGAAAAGACATACATACATACTTACATACACTCGAAAAACATTACCCTCCTTCTTTGGCAGTCGGGTAAAAATATATTCATGACAATATTACTTAATAATTTAGAAAAACATATACTTACATGAATAGTTTTGACAAGTTTATTGATGAAAAAACAAAAATGTATGTCATATGCTACAATAGCTAGCTATTTTAGCTATTTTTTAATATTATTATATTTATATTTATACATGTCCCGATTTGAAAGCAAACCAAAAATTTCTAATGAAAAAAAAAACATTTTAAACGCAGAAAAAAAAATATTTTGAAAAAATAATAAATAAATGTGAAGCTTACCTACTTATTTATTGACAATAACAATAACTTACTTGCGTGAATTGGGTAGTTTCCTAGGTCAAAAATAAATTATTTCGACGTTTCAATACAATAACATATTGAAAAATAACTATACTTTTATTCATCGATCGATCGATATACTAATTTTTAGTTTTTTTTAGCTAATTATTAAGAAATAAGTAAACTATTTGACGCAAAAAAGTTATGACGTCATAGCTCAGTTTTTCATACAAATTTCATAGAAAATTATCGTTTTTGACGTTTGGATAAAAGTATTGAATTTGACTAGTTGGAAACTACCGTATTAGGCATGATAATATCTCTTTTCAAATTTACTCTTAAATAGCAACCGATTATAAGAACATAATATTTTAACAATGTGACATTCCTTCTAGACATTTTAAAGCGTCAACCTTCCGGGCGAGAAAGAAGGATGGAGCTATTAGCTATGTGCGCGTCGGTGGCAACGCGTAGCGTTTACAACATTTGCGGAAGCTGTCAAATAATAACAATGTAAACATTATAATTTTCTTTGCAAATATACCTAAATAAAACCAAAGATTAAAATAGTATTGTTGACATTATTTAAGTGCAATTATTCAATACTTTTACTGTAAAATGAATATAATAATAAAAACGGACAGCTGATCATCAGCTGAGAATTTGTTTCCAATTTCTGCCGTGTTGTGCGCTGCGGTCGTTATCTGTCCGCCACTACTCGCTTTGCACATAGCAAATACTGTATATATAGTTGATCTAAAACAACAATAAATACCTAAAAAATATTTAAAAATGTTTAGTTTGACAATAACATCTAATAATATAATTATATATATATATATATATATACAAAATAAAAATACATAATAACCCATTTTATTGAATGTCGGACCAAAAATATGTAGATTTCTTTTATTTACCTATTTATATCATAATAATTATGAGCTTAATGTTAAAAAAATCTTGTAAATAATGCAATAATAATGATTTTAATGACAATATATATCACAATAATATCGCTTTTATTAATTAGTGTTTATTGTATGTATATAATTATACATTATATTTAGGTACTGTTTAGAATTACCGGTGATTAAATAAATTATGATAATTCTCTTCGTAATTTATGTTATTTTATATTAACAGATATTAATATAATAAACATGTTGCTTGTTTGAATTTAAATTAGTTAAAATTGTATGTTACTTGTGCAAAATTTCATCATAATTTACTTAGTAATTCAGGCCTATAAGTGTGGCAAACGAACCAAGATTCGTAATACTAACTTATTATATATTAATTAAAGTAAATAAGTTTGATTCCTCCTTTTTGTTATTATATAATTTTAAATTTTAAAAATATAGGTTCCTATTATATAGGTAACGGTTGTTTGTAATAAATTATATTTTAAATTTAATAGTAACTATTACCGGTAATTCTAAAAAAAATATTAACAGGTATATACCTATAGGTATTAATAAAAAAATAACAATAAATCTATATAAGCTTCAATCTAATTAAATAGCACAATAATAAAATATGTTATAAATCTTTAAATTAGCCTAATTTAAGATATTTTGTGTACCGATAATACAAAATTTAATTTATTTACATATTAATTCTTAAACCAAATATGAATGGTTGTAAATATTATTTATTAGATTAAAATATTAACAATTGCATGTTTTACCTAATAATAATAATATAATGTTAATATTACATTTCATAAATACATATAATTTATTTACTTTAATTGCATCACATTTATAATTAATATATAACTTATATAATATAATTATATAAACTGTTAACATTCTCTTCAATGATGGCTGTTAACTAAATTAAATAATAAATTGATATTTGCAATATTTAATCAAATTAGATTGTTATTAGAAATTCATGTTCATTCATAATATATTATAATCAATCATATATGAAAGTAGAAACTCCTTATAATCTTGAATACGATGGTCAAAGTTTCTTCATTTGTGTCTATATAAATACACTTACTTCGCATATAAATGTATTCTGGGATTTTAACAGCAGCGGTAAAAGAAATAGCTCGATTAAAAAACGCAAATCTAATATATAATATATAGCCTATAGCACTCAGGAACATTGTAACTATTTCTCAGTGAAAGAATTTTGGAAATCCGACCAGCGGTTCCAAAGATTACTCCCTACATACAAGGTTACAAATTTTACTTCTTTATAATACTAATATAGATCACGTATGGAACTGTTTGGCGACAAAACTGGAATAATTTTAAGCCATGCTATCAACTCTTATCCTTCAAAAAAGGTCATACATGAAGCGTTGATCGACACGTACCATAAACTGACTTAATTCAGCGCGCTTTTCTTTTGTTTTTAATCTGTGTCAACGGTTCAAGTGACACTAATCGTATGAAGTTTAGAAACGCTGTTTAAGATATTGAAACTCACAAATTAGTCTTTAAACGCGGCCTAAAAGAGAATTATAAACCACTACTGGGCAAAGGCGTCGTTCCAAGGAGTTTGAATATTTATAACCACCCTTGCTCAAGCCGAATTGTTAGCGCTTGATTACATAAAAGAAAATGTTAAGAATGTCTCATTGTTTTAGACTTCTAAATATCCTACATGATTACTGAATATCTTTTCTTATTAGGTTGACAGTTCAAGTAAAATACCTATATTTTGGTCATGGATCATTGAGGATCTAATTTGAGTCCAGAGTTGGACATGATATGGGTAAAAAGATGCCACGGAGTTCGTTAATTAAGTAGTTTCCTAGGTCAAAAATAAATTATTTAGATGTTTCAATAGGTACAATAAAATATTGAAAAATAACTATAAGTGGTACTTTTATTCACAGATCGATAAATTTTTTAGCTAATTTTCATATTAATATTATAAATGCGAAAGTAACTCTGTCTGTCTTTTCTTCACACCTAAATTACTGAACCGATTTCTGTGTAATTTGGTACAGACATAGTTTGGAACTTGAGAAAAGACATAGGATAGTTTTGATACCAAAAATCTGCAAGCAGTCAATATTCCACGCGAACGAAGTCGTGGGCAAAAGCTAGTTTACAATATTAATACAACTGATTTTTCTTCAAGATGTTATTCTCGATTTAAAACTACTCTTACGACACACATACAAAGAAAATTGTGTATGGCTGCACAATTAATTTGTTGAAAATGTTGAAATTTGACCATTTCATTCTTTCCAAATCTAATAATCACTATTATCGATACCTAATATATTAAAAAAAACATCTAGGTAATATTTTAAATTCATTGTAGTGTCATTAATAAAAAAATACTAAATAACTATTTATTATAAATTATATAATTCCAATTGTATCACATAAAAAATGCATTTTTAATTAATATCTAATAAATGCTATAATATACACATTCGTATTATCACACTATCTTCCAGTATTAGAAATATAATTGTAGTTATACAAAAAAATATTTATCCAAAAATACCAAAACAATATTATAATCTATGTTAATGGAATCATGGTTCATTGTAGATGTGTTATAATTATAACATAAACATATTGTATAGATTTATTTATTTATAAATATAATTGTACTACATTCAACGAATATAATAATTATACATTTAAAAAACATATAATAATTATTTAGTGTAGTGATTATTGAAACATTAAGGTTATATAATATATATTAAATGTAGCTGTATTTAATAGTTTCTTAGTAAAATTAACGTAGTGTAGATTACAGCCATTCATATTTGATTAATTTTATTTATATTTACTATACAACAATAGCTGGATTTGGGTCCTATTCACAAAATATGTGTATTTTTAATTATTTGTCATTGTATGTAAGTAGATATTGGCAAATGATCTACATTATTTTTATTGTAGTGTATAATTATGTTTTTAGTATAGTTAGACTAGTAGAATTGTTGTAAGAAGCGTTAGTTTTTGAAGTTGTATTGAAAAAGCAAACATTTATATCATGTTTCTCATTTTAAAGGATAGCAAACTACTATGGTACTCGGTTGCGCTCTATTTTTAACCGACTTCAAAAAAGGAGGAGGTTCTCAATTCGACGAGTATTTTTTTTATGTATGTACACCGATTACTCGAAGACGCCTGAACCGATTTGCAAAATTTTGGCACAGAATAGTAGTAAAAATGGGATACAGGTTAAGGTTATTGATATGCATAGAAGCAAAGTTAAAAACAATCACATTTTAAGTGAAAGCGTAATTATGACTGAGCAATCTCATTCATGTTTTAATTTTAATAATAATAATAGTAGACATAAAAAAATTCATGAAAAAATAAAATAAACTACATAAACAGTTTTTTTTTCATTTTTTTTTTCACCAATACCTAGTCTTATAAAAATCAGTATAACTTTAAAAAGTAACCCTTTTAATTAATAAAAAATAATTGTTAGTAAAGGAGCCACGAGCTGAAGTGTATCGTAGTAATAATTTGGAAAACTTTGTAATATAAATATATAATAATTAATATAAAATTATATTTATTAAAACGTATACAACATATTAATATTGTAATAATTATAATATTAAAACCCGGTTAATAAGCGACAAATACGAATTAGTCTGCCATAATAATATTTTAGATATATGCTAAGAAATATTATTTATAGAATAGGTATTTTCGCGAATTTAAATAACAATGCCAAAATCGCCATTTTATTATGTACAAAATACAAAATAAGTGTAGAGATTGTCCAGTCAACTGATGGTAGCGAGGTTCACTGTCCAGTGACACACGTACGCTGGTATCGTCATGAGCTAATGTTGACATGTAAACAGCGACTCATGTAGTGTAGAGATTGTCCAGTTAACTGATGGTAGCGAGGTTCATTGTCCAGTTTTGTATGATTTTATATATGTAGTGTATAACTCGTCCGTTCATTGTTTCTCTCGCATATTGACCGGGTAACTTAGAAAGTGGAATCCAGTTGCTATATCGCTGTTTAAATACGAGTATTATAATCATTGAATGTGATAGTTTAGTGATATTTTCTGCTTTTTAGATATTTTAATATCACTGATAATGATATTAACGATAATGATAGTTATAACAAATAATCAAATATTTATTGTTAGATGTGTGTTAAGGTGTAAGTTATTTTATGTTATGTTATATTATTGTTATATTTAATATAATAGGTCTTTACCTATGAAATAGCCGTTTTGCATAAAAAATTTTAACGAATTTTTTGATTTGAAACGCGATGAAAATGTTACACTAATCAATAAACAAATGACTACTTTTGGAAAAAGAATCCCATGTTTTTAAAACAAAATTAATTAGCCTTAGCCTAACAAAAACTATTTTGATTTGAAATGGCCAGTACTGCAGAACGGCAATTTCATAGGTAAATCCCAAAATAATTATGGTTGTCAAAATATATGTTCATACAGTACCTACATATGGATAAAGGGACATAAAAAGCGACTTTGTTTTATACTAAGTATGTAGTAATACCTAATCCCAAAAGAGGAATATTATTAATTGTAATCATTGTTATACTAATAATTATTTAGTTTAAATGTTATTTTATGTTATGTTATTATTAAAGATAACAACAAAATTATATCTAGTCCTGCCCTAAATGTTAAAATATTTAGATATATCTAAGTTTATGATTTATAAATACATATTATAATTACCTCCTAATAAATTAAAATATTACTGCGCTTATTTCCATAGGAAATTGTTCTAAAATTGACTTGAATGTTATCGAAAAAAAAACATCAATTTTTCTCATTATAAACTCTGCTGCTTACATTACTTTTATATCTATTAAACAGCAGAACAACATATCATAATCGTTATGCTTTGGCCGACATCTGTCATCGATTTTCAATGTTTTTTTTTAATATCTATAAAGAAAACTTTTTTTAACAAACTTGGCCAATATATGCATAGTTCCTAACTATTATGTGCCATACCTAGTAAATGTATTAAAAATCAGCCCTAAGTCGTAAATGCCAGTAAATTTGGCGTGCTTATTGACAGTAAAGGATAGCAGAGTCGAATCCCATCAAAGTGGAAATACATTTAAATTAATATTCAAGAAAAATCAAGCTTATCCTACATTTAATTGCTGGCCATGCTTCGGCACTAAGGGGTCGGCTCGACCGGAGTGATACCACGGGCTCACAGAAAACCGGCGTGTAACAACCACAGCGTTGTGTTACGCTTAGTGAGTGAGGAAATCTTAGGCCCAATCCTGTCTCTCCTCTAATCTCAAAAGATCGGCAAAGCACTCGTGACACCTTCGTTGTTGCGGGTGTCCATGGGCGGCGCTGATTACTTACCATCAGGTAATCCGTCTGCTCGTTTGCCGACCTATTACATAAAAAAAGGATTGAATATTAATAGTATTCCAATGTTTGGTATTATCGTGGATTTCCAATTCAACATATTATTATAATTTCGAATCTAAGCCGTTAAGTTTGATTGTGTGGCCCTAAAATTGTGATTATAATGAGCGCAGTATAAAAAAAATGTGGTTTGTTATAATTAATATTGTTTATTAATTAAAAATGTGGGTATATGAACGAAAATTTGTTTTTCATTTATTGTCCCGTGTCTTTATCGTATCCGCCCCTTATCTCTAAACCCTAATCCCCAAAAGATAGATTACAGTCTGGAAAAACAATTGGACTACTTTTTCCTTAGTAATGCTAGAAAAAGCTTATAATAATAGCCAAACTGATATTTTAAATGCGAAAGTAACTCTGTCTGTCTGTCTGTATTTTTCTCACGCCTAAACTACTAAACAGATTTTTGTTAACTTTTGTACAGACATAGTTTGAAACTCTAGAAAAGGCACAGTTTTTATACCAAAAATCTGCAGAAAGTCACTATTTCACGCGAACGGAGTCGCGGGCAAAAGCTTGCATGAAATAAAGAAAAACAACATACAACTACTTGGTACATATTTTATTATATTTTTGAACATAAATATATCAATTGCACATAATACTAGATATACAATCATAATTATAATATGGTAGTTTCCAACTAGTCAAATTCAATACTTTTATACAAATGTCAAAAACGATACTTTTCTATGAAACTTGTATGAAAAACTGAGGTATGACGTCATAGTATTTTTGCGTCAAATAGCTTACTTATTTCTTAATAACTACCTACAAAATATCTAAAACTGAGTGTACCGACCGATCGATGAATAAAAGTATAGTTACTTTTCAATATTTTATTGTAGGTATTGAAACGTCGAATTATTATTTTTTTGACCCAGGAATACCCAATTCTAAAATACAATATTGTTACTATTAAACTACAAAGAAGAAGGTAAAGTACCACTTTTCACTAACTATAAATATATTTCACTGTTATTCCGGCACGGAACAACTCTTTGTGTGATCCACAAATCGTTATTCCGTGTCTGGGTATAATGTGTATATGAAATTGTATGTTTGCAAACGCGCGCGCACGACACAGGAGAAAATTCTAGTGTAGGGCAAAAAAACTATAACAATCGCGAGACATTTTTTTAAACGTTGCCCAAACTTGTATTTTTAATATTTTTTAACTTTTTGTGTCGTGTTTTTACACACATTAAATAACATACATCATTACCAACAACCTGTGATACATCCTCTGGTGTTGTGAAAATCCTCGAAATCGATTGCTTACCATCAGGTCATTATTACGCTACGCAGTTATTCTGTAGGTTGGCTTGGTGCAGCGGCTCTCAGCGACTTTTCCAGATTCTTAAGAGACGGTGTTATTGCACTGCCTAGGTCTTCCACCACGCTTGATAGGTACACTGAAATTTAAATAAAAATCGAAAGTCAAAGTCAATATCAAAATCCAAGGTCGAAGTCAAGGTCAAAATAATCGTCTAAAAGATGCTCAACGTCATGGTAGGCATCCAAAGTGATAACGAAAGTCAATGGTCAAAATGGAAGTCGGTGTCAAGATGAAAACAAAAGTCAAAGTCAAGGTCAAAATTATTGTCAAAAAGACATCTAACTTGAAGGTGAAATTGCTAAACTGATAAAGAAGGTCAATGGTCAAAATGTAAATCAAATCAATCAAGATGAGAACGAAAGTCAAAGTCAAGGTCAAAAAAAAATTAAAAGACACTTAATTTCAAGGTAAAAAAAAGATAAGGTGATAACAATAGCCAAAATTCAAAATACGATGTCAGGGTGAAAAGTAAAGTAGAAATCAAAGGTCAATATGAAAATAAAAGTCAGGATAAGTTATCATAAAAAAAACCTAAAATACTTAATATTTTCTTTCACCTTAAAATCTTAAAAAATACATGATATGTATAATGAATCAAATTAAAAATCGACCCAGTCCGTCAGTCAGACAATGATTAAATAAAATACACAAGTATTTTATTTTTATCTTGTAACAAATAAAATACTTCAAGGGCTGATTTTGCAATGGTTAGATAAAAGTTACCCGGGGAATAATTATGATGCTGTCGCGTCACAATGTTTGTATAAGACAGTGACAGCAACAATTTTATTCCTCAGATAACATTTGCGGTTCTTTTTCGCGGGTAGGTGTTCATTAAGTAAGGACGTAAATAAAAGTCGCTGCTAAAGTTTATTTATTAAAATATAGTAACTTAAGATTTATCTCCCTAGTAGTTGCGTTTATAACCTCGGGATACGTGTGCAATCATTTTATGTAATTAAAATATACATTGAGCACCACCTGCCAGCACGTCAGCACTCATCATACGGCACTTCACTATCAACACTATGTCTGAATACAGTGACCTAGTTAAGATCCACGAATCGGTTCAGGAGTCTGTCACGCGGAGGATGAATGAGATGGAGGCCCAGATACAATCAGCAGGCCAAGCTAAGGACACAGTCGCCAAGGTGGCCGAAGAGTTCCGTTCTTTCCGGGAACTAATATTTAAAATACTTGGTTTGCTGAGAAGCCAAATAAACGAGTGTTCCAGAAGGATTGATGACATGGAGACGAGGCATCGAAGAAAGGCACTTGTTTTCCAGGGTCTTGTTGAGACGGAGAAGGAGGACTGCAGGAAGCTCATCTGTAACGTGATAAATTCAAAGATGAGCCTCAATATCTCTGAGTCAGTAATAACTGTCTGCCACAGACTAGGAGTTGGCCACAAAGACCACCACAGACCCATACTTGTCCGATTCAGCAGCTTAGACTTGAAGGCTTCAGTTTGGAGGGCTAAGGCAGGTTTAAGAGGCTCAACTTATTCTGTGAAGGAGTTTCTGACCAAGACCCGACAAACTCTTTTCACTAAAGCACGGCAGCACTTCGGCATGCGGTCATGCTGGACACAGGACGGCATCATTAATGTGAAGGCAAGTGATGGAAGCCGGCACAGAGTGACTTCAATAGAGGCGCTTGACTCGCTGCTGTTGAAGTTTCCCAGGGCACCAGGTAACAAGTCTGATCATAAACCCTCTGTGGGGAATCTGAAAAAGTAAGGTACACCTATATAAATTTAATTGTTAAGATGTAATTTACTTTTCTTAATATTGCATATCTTTACATAACATCTTAAAACTGTCCACTTACCAATCATTTCATTCCTGTCATGTAGTCTTATTGAACTTTAAATTTGTCTGTATTATTATCTTGTTTATTTCATTTTATTGTCAATATGAAGGTTACAGTATTCACTTTTGTAATTTGTTTAATTCTCCTAATAAGAGGTAGTCATTAGAATCACTATGTCAAATTATAGACGGTATTTTTTTTTTACTTTTCATTGTAATATATAGTTTCACTATTGACTGACCGTAAAATTAATTTAATTCACGCTTGCTAGTAGATGTATTTGTATTAATTTTTTTTTTTACTTAAACTGACTGTCACTGATGAACTTGTTGCTGTCAACTGTCAATGTATATTTTGAACGTTCGGAAATGCTTAGCAACATTTGTTTTGTTTTGTTTGGATAGGTACCTAGTTATTGTGCTTTTTTTTGTTTCTTTTTATATCTTTTTTTAATGTTTTAATTTTGGGTATTTGTACTTGCAGTTTCGTTTCTCGTTTTGTTGATTTTTTTGTGTATTTTTTTTTGTGATTGTTGTTGTTTTGAGTATTGTTGACATAGGCTGGCGGGTGGTGCAGACTAGATGCGCGCTTCGATTATTTACTAGCATTTTTTGTAGTTTTTATTATTATTATTTTTATTTTATATCTTCGTTTATTTAGTTGTATAATTATATTTTATAATATTTATTTATGTCTGACGACGAAGTTTTTGAATCTGCCAATGAAGATGACTCTTCTAGTAGTTATAGTTTTTGCTCAGCTGTTGAAGAAACTCTTGGAGACTTTATTCATAAACAATTCCATAGCAAAGATAATCGACTGCTGAACGTTTGCCATATTAATGCTCAGAGTGTCCCCAGCCATTACAGTGACCTTTACGAGGCGTTTAATGATGGCAGCGTTCACGCCGTCCTAATTTCCGAAACCTGGCTGAAGCCTCATTTGCCGTCCACCACTTACCCTTTGACCGGTTATATCCTGATAAGGAATGACAGGGTGGAGGGGAGGGGTGGGGGTGTGGCAGTGTACCTCCGCAGCGATTTTCCTTATAAAATTCTTGTAACTTCTTCCAACTGTTCTGCGGAGTACATATTCCTTGAGGTTTGTGTCCGGGGGGTCAAGGTTATTTTGGGTGTAGTTTACTGTCCTCCAAATATTGATTACTTCACTGAATTCCAATCAGTACTTGAATCTTTGGGTTCGGAGTGCGAACATATCATAATCATGGGCGACTTTAATACCAATCTCCTTACTCCCACCTCCTATCGAACCCGTAAACTCCTCGAACTGGTCGAGTCAGCCAGTTTGCACGTGTTGCAGCTTCTACCCACACATCACAATACTGGTAGCACTGACACTTGGCTCGACTTAATCCTCACCTCCAATCCCTCTTTTGTTTCCAGTCATGGTCAACACGATGCCCCGGGCTTTTCACACCACGACCTTGTGTACCTATCCTATGTCCTAAAACCTCCCAAAATTAAGCCCAGGATATTGTATAGGCGCTGTTTTAGGCAAATGGATGGAGAGAGGCTGCAACACGATGCATCAAACCTCGACTGGGAGCCACTAATGCAAGCGAATTCGATCGATGAAAAGGTTACCATTTTCAATAAAACTATAATAGATTTATATGACCGGCATGCTCCTATTCGAAAGGTGAAAATGAAACGTCCGCCTGCGCCGTGGATGACCAGAGGCATTCAAATGGCAATGCGTCGTAGGGACCGCGCGTTTCGTAAGCACAAGCGAGACCGCACTGAGGAAAATTGGGTAGCTTTTAAGATTGCAAGGAATCGATGCAACCAGATGGTACGGAACGCCAAACGCCGACACATCCTTGAAAATATCTCTTCATCTTCTCCTGCCGATATCTGGAAATTTTTAAAATCTCTGGGTATTGGCAGAACGCAACACTCAGACCTTCCAAACTCGATTAGTTCAGACGATCTTAACAAACATTTCTCCACTTCTTCGCCTTTGGATCGTCTGACTATAGATGGTACTGTAGCTTTCATTGCTGGTCTGGTGCGTTCCAAAATAGTTCCATTTCGTTTTGTTCCTGTGGAGTCAGCGGAGATCAAAAAGATTATCCTGTCCATCAAGTCCAAGGCTGTTGGTTGTGATAACATCTCCCGTTACATGATCACAACAGTTTTGGACCACCTCTGCCCAGCCCTTACCCATATAGTAAACTTTTCATTGTTCTCCGGTTCTTTTCCATCTCTGTGGCGCCTAGCTTTTGTTAGGCCACTTCCTAAGGTCCCAAATCCTACTCTACCCACCCACTTCCGCCCAATTTCGATCCTTCCATTCCTATCTAAAGTGCTTGAGGCTTGTGTTCATAAGCAACTCTCGCATTTTATATTCCAAAACTCCCTATTAAGTCCTTTCCAGTCTGGTTTTAGACCAGGACACAGTACCACAACCGCTCTCCTCAAAGTGACTGGCGATGTGAGGGTTGGTTTGGATGATACTAAGATCACCGTGCTGGTGTTAGTTGATTTTTCCAACGCCTTCAACATGGTCAGTCACGATGTCCTCCTAGCCATCCTGTCCCATCTTATGGTCTCCGATGATAGTCTACAATGGTTTTCTTCCTATCTTCAGGGACGAAAGCAACGGGTACAGGTTGGTGATAATTCATCATGCTGGTGCACGTTGGAAACTGGCGTCCCTCAAGGCGGCATACTTTCCCCTCTTCTATTTTCATTGTTTATTAATATGCTTACTACAGAACTTCAATGTCCGTATCATCTGTATGCTGATGACTTGCAATTATACTGTCAAGCTAGCAGAGAGCAGCTGTCTGGTGCGGTTGACAAGCTTAATGTCGATCTGCAGGCCATTAAGAACTGGTCCGATAGGTTTGGGATAGCTGTTAATCCTAGCAAATGCCAGGCGATAGTTATCGGCAGTTCCCGTATGCTAGGTAAGATTGGCAATAGCACGCTACCACCTGTAATTTTTGATAATGCTGTCATACCGTTTAGTGGCGATGTTAAGGATCTCGGTCTGCACATTGACAGCACCCTCAGCTGGCGTACGCAGGTTACCAACGTGTGCAAAAAGGTCACAGGATCGCTGCGGTCTCTATATCGCCTTAAAAATTTTCTCCCATCCTTTGTAAAGGCAGCGCTTGTGCAATCTCTTATATTTCCAATTATTGACTATGGTGATGTTTGTTATTACGACCTGAATGCAGATCTCCTCAATAAGCTTGATCGACTTCTGAATAACTGCATTCGATTTGTTTTCAACCTGCGTAAATATGATCATGTTTCTGCACATCGGCTGCAATTAAAGTGGTTGCCCATACGCCAGCGCAGGGAGCAAAGGGCTCTCACCACTTTATACTCCTTTCTTGTATCTCCTCTTTCCCCTGGCTATCTATCTTCTTATTTTCAATACACCAGTGCAAACCATACTAAATATCTTCGTTCTTCCAATAATCGTCATCTTCAATGTATAAGTCATCACACTGACTTTCTTCACTCTTCTTTCTTCATTCAGTCTGTAATGCTATGGAATGCACTACCCACGGAGATTAGGATGGCAACCAGTCGTTTGTCATTTAAATCAAGATTGCGTGAGCACCTTCTCAAAAAAATGGCGATTTCAAATCTTTCATAACTTGTATTTATGTATGTATATATATATATATATATATATATATTATATATATTTATTTATATAATGATATTGTTATTTTTCGTTGTATATTTTATATATGGTATCTAAGTAATGTAAATTGATAAAATTTTGTTATTTATTCTTTTGTCACCTGCCACTCTCATCTCTCAATCACCCAAAGGTCGACTGTTAGACAATGCCTAAGGCATTAAGTCCACCTTTACATGTTTTGTATAAAGTGTATAAATAAAATAAATAAAATAAATAAACATTTATCCGACTATTGAAAAATCTGCTCTAATAAAACGAATTTAAGTTCAGGAATAGCACTTGTAACAAACGATAAATGATCTCCAAATTCCTAATTCTCAAAAGGTCGGCAACGCACTCGTAACACCTACGTCCATGGGCGGCGCTGATTGCTTACCATCAGGTAATCCGTCTGCTCGTTTGCCGATCTATCATATAAAGAAATATACTCCTATTATATAAATTATACAGGGTGTAAAAAGACACTTAACGAAGCCGAAAGCCACGTATTCTACCCATTATTTGGATCATTTTTCTTTAAGACCATAGCTGGGACTCCACGGGTTCTCGAGATATTAAGGTCAAAGATGCATTTTTATTTTTTATTTTATTGCACAATCGAATTCTAAGTATTATTACAAAACTTTTTTCCAAACAAACATTACCTGAATTTTCGATTTTTCTAAATAAATTACGCATTTGAAGTTACGAACAGTAATGTACGTAATAAATAAATGCAGACCCGCACAAAAAACATCGTGCATCTCAGTAGGATTTTTATTTTACAGAATTGTTTTGCTGTTGCGAAGTAAAACATCGACCTACGTACTTATCACAGCGTTTTAATGCTAAGCTGTGCCTACGCACACAATGACACGAAGCCCGTTTGCTTTACATTGCGCGCAATAATTTTTTTTTTTTTTTTGATACTTAAAACTAGAAGTCGTTGCCCAGTGATAATTTTAGCGTAAAGCTTCTTAGTTAGAACTGCAGTATGCGTAGTTAACGGCTTCGTTAAGTGTCTTTTTACACCCTGTATAATAATATAATAGGAGTTTCTTGCTCGTTCTTCTCCATAGGAATCTACACTTTGGAACGAGCAAATAGCTTCACTAAGAGGACTGACCGACAGACTGACACTATATCTTCAAAATTTTGTTTGACGTTCAAAAGTGCCTGCAAGGGTCTAATTGATATATATGTTTTTTGACTTGACGTTTAACTTTAGATAATATAGCTTGATTTAAAGGACACAAGGAAATTTTTACTTTATGAAAAACTTACCGATGTCATTGAGACAGCGTTTCGTGCCTAATGCATCCATATTCCTTATGTTAAGTATCTTCTCAGCGTACACTTCGCAAGTGTGTGAACAGACCTGTCCAAAAATAGTCTCATATTATATCAAACTAAGTGTGGGAGAGCCATGCTTCGGACGAATGGGTCGGCTCGACCGGAGTGATAGATACTACGGCTTTACAGAAAACCAGCGTGAAACAACCACAGCGTTGTGTTTCGCCGCGTGAATGAGGTAACCAGAGATCCAATCCTTCACTTCCCCCAATCCCGAAATCTCCAAATCACAATACCCTAATCCCCAAAAGGTCGAAAACCCAAGTAATTCTGAAATCCTTGCCTGCAAAAAGCGGGCATCGCATTCTTAAGTCCTCTGGTGTTTGGAGTGTCAATCGGCGGCAGAATTGCTTACCATCAGGTCATCTGTCTACTCGCTTACCGAACTATCCGATACAAAAAGATCCCGAACCAATACGACCTTCAAAACTTCAAGAAACTTGCGTACTCCTTCTTAAAAGGCCGGCAACGCTCGAACTCTTTTGGTGTTACAGGTGTCCATGGGCAACGCCGATTGTTTACCACACCAAAGTGTAGGAGAGTCATGCTTCAGCACGAATGGGTCAGCTCGACCGGAGTGATACCACGGCCTCACAGTAAACCGGCGTGAAACAACTACAGCGTTGTGTTTCGTCGTGTGAGTGAGGTTACCGGAGGCCCAATACCTAAATCTCCAAATCCCTAATCCCTAAATGGTCGGCAAGGCACTCATAACTCCTCCGTTGCGGGTATCCATGAGCGGCGCTGATTGCTTACCATCAGGTAATCCGTCTGCTCGTTTGCCGAACTTAAACATGAAAAATGTAGATAACACTATCTATTTTCATATGACTTACCTCAGATAAAAACTGTAATGGAGCTTGTTTCTCTGACAGATGCATTTCAAGATGCTGGGGCAAAGTCATCAGGTATTGGCCGATCTGAAAACCATAATTTTCTCATCATCATCATCATCAGCCTGTAAGTGCCCACTGCCGAGCAAAGGGCTCTTCTCACAAAGATAGTTTGAGCATTAACCACCACGTTTGCTCAAGGCGGATTGGCGATTTCGAACTTATAATTAGAAATTATAAGTCTTTTTTTAATTTCTTCTTTGTTCTCATTTTATTTCTTGTTTTGTTATTATTGTTTCTTTATTTTTATTTTTATTTAATTACTGAATGGGTATTATAAAACCAGTGTTACCTTATGATGCATCCTGTGACATCTTAAAATGTGCATTTATGTATTATTTTAAAATAATATTAAGTCACGTATTAATGTAACAACTACTGATTGCCCAAATAAATAAATAAATAAGTCCAGGTTTCCTCACGATGTTTACCTTCACCGTATGCCAGTGGTGTCTAAATAATCATAGAAAGTACATATAACTCGGAAAAAGTCACATTGGTACTTGTCAGGTTCGAAACTGAACCCTCATGCATGAGAAGCGAGTGCCTTAACGTCCAGGCGACCACGACATCCAAAAAGAACCATACCTCTGTAATATATTCTTGCGGTGACAGGGCGAAGTCCGGTAGATCAGTTGATAACGCATCATTATTGTTCCACACAGACAGTTGAGGTATTTTCTCTGTAAGGGACAAACAGTATAATTTTTTAATAATAACTATACATAGACATACTAATGCCCGGTTTCCGAAAGCCCGATTAATGTTAAAATCAACAAACTAGGTGTCAAATCTCTTGTCAAGTCATCTGATTGGTTGTTGATAATTCAGTCAACCAATCAGATGACTTGACAAGAGATTAAATTGATCGGCCTTTCGGAAACCGGCTGTTAATCTATCAAAACTAGCGGTTGCCTGCGGCTCCGCCCATTTTATACGTTTTCTACACGTACAAACATTTGGACTTCCACGAATAATTCAACACTTAAATTAGCCAAATCGGTAAAGGCATTAATTAAGTTATAACATTACAACAAAAAGTGGCCTTGATTTATAAATATACTAGCTTTTACCCGTTGCGTCGCTCCCGTCATTTGACTACCTACCTACCAACCTACCCTACTCAACCTACCCTTTTTTTTTTTTTTTTTTTTTTTTTTTTTTTTTTTTTTTTTTTTTTTTTGTTTTGGGGAAAATCATCCAATGACTTCTCCCGCCCAGGGTAAGGCGAGAGAGAGTGTCAGACTCTTACTGACTAAAAACCCCCCCGTTCCTTCTCCTGCTCTGGGCCGAGGTCGCGGTGCCTCATTGCGCTTACCCCGCAGCCCCGGCCGCTTACCCCGCAGCCCCGGCACTCAACCTACCCTACCAACCTACTCTAGCTACCCTACCTACCCTACTCTACCTCACCTACTCTACCTACTCTATCCTATATCCTTCGCCTGGCTCTAAACTACCTCCCTGCCAATTTTCAGCTAAATCGGTTCAGCCGTTCTTGAGTTATAAGTGGTGTAACTAACACGACTTTCTTTTATGTATAGATAACGATTTGCTCGCGTGATTTTACTGAGAAAAGCTCTACTAGTTTTAGAACGATGTAGCGTATAAATAGAATAGCGTTAAAATACCCAAATCAAGTATAATTTATACCCTATAGCACTAAGGAACATTGTAGCTATCTATGAGTGAAAGAATTTTGGAAATCCGACCAGCGGTTCCAAAGATTACTTTACCTTACATACAAACTTACAATACCTCTTTATAATCATCCTAATAATATAAATGCGAAAGTTACGATGTTTGGATGTTTGTAACTTAATAACGCCAAAACGGTTGGACGGATCTGGGTGAAATTTGGCACAGGCATAGGATACACTCCGGAATAGGACGTAGGCTACTTTTTATCACACAACGCGGGCGAAGCAGCGTGCGTTAACTAGTATTAGTATAGATCAAAAACTTACCTAATTGTATGTCAATAGGATTCCTTAATATAACTCTGGATAAATTCCTGAGCTGATCCTTAGTCCGTCTGAGGACGGCAGCGGAGGCCGGGGGCTCCGACCTGAAGGAGGCGAGCCGTTGCTTCACATCAGGCTCCAGGAGCAAGGTTGGTAGGTCATGTAGAGGATCTTCAGGATTTGATTCTAAAAAGAAAGAGTTAGTCATCAACCACTTGTCGAAATGATATCGTGGAGAAAGTTTTTGTGAGGGGAAAATCATCAAATGACTTCTCCCGCCCAGGGTAGGGCGGGAGGGAGTGTCAGACTCTTACTGACTAAAACCCTCCCGTTCCTTCTCCTGCTCTGGACCGAGGCCGCGGTGCCTCATAGCGCTTACCCCACAACCCCAGCTGAACATCAGCTCTATAGGGCCCCGTCTGTGGTGGTCTATTGGCTCTTTGAGGCGCGCGCGGAACGCTACGCGCCGTACGCTCGGGCCTGGTTCTGGTCGGTTGGCGAGCTGCCCTTACTCACCGTCCGCAGACCCGCACTTACGGTGGCCGGAGATCGTCTCTCGATCCCCGATGCCCGGAGTGTCGCCTTCTGCGACGGCTGGGGCGTGAGGAGGAGGATTGCTTTCTGTGACCCGGAACTTAAGGCGCCCGCTTCTCATGCATGATAGTTTCAAAATCTGGCAAGTACCAATGTGACTTTTTCCGAAGTTATATGTACTGTCTATGATTATTCAGACACCACTGACATACGGTGAAGGAAAACGTCGTGAGGAAACCTCGACTTTTAATTCCTAATTAAGTATAAGTTTGAAATCGCCTTCCCTCGAGGCTTTTGCTCAGCAGTGGGCACTTATAGGCTGATGATGATGATAGATCAACAGTTAATTGCTTTTTAGGGGATATATTCCAATTAGCAGACCTTATAAAGAGCAATCGGCGCCGATTATGGACATCCGCAATACCAGAAGTGTGGGAGAGAAAAGCTTCGGCACGAATGGGTCGGCTCGACCGGAGTGATACCACGGCCTCACAGAATACCAGCGTGAAACAACCACAGCGTTGTGTTTCGCCGTGTGAGTGAGGTTACCGGAGGCCCAATCCCTCCCCTTCCCCTATCCCTTCCCAATCCTTATATCCGGAACCCTTATCCCCAAAAGGCCTACAACGCACTCGTAACTACTTTGGTGTTTTAAGTGTCCATGGGCGGCGCCGATAGCTTACCATCAGGTAATCCGTCTGCTCGTTTGCCGATTTATACCATAAAAAAACCGAAGGAGTTATATGTGAACTGCTAGCCATTTTTGGTTGTGAAGGATTTTTATAGACTTTGCTTACCATCATAAAAAAATAACAATTTAAACTATCCACGTACCTTCAACCTCCCTTGTTTCAGCTAACGTGGCGAGGATGTTGGCTGCAGCAGTCTGCAGCATCAGGGATGCTGGGAACGTGTTGGATAGGACTCCAGTCACCTGGCCCACGGATGCCGAAGATAGGAACGCCGACTCTATACGGCGGCTATGCGCCGAAATAAGGTTCGACAGTGATGACGCGAAATTCTATAAGAAAAAAAAAAATCGGTTCATAAATAACAGAGACATCGGCGCATCAAAAAAAAAAAATCATATATGAAGTCAAATTGAGAACTGTTTTTGGAAGTCGTTTATAAAGAATTATTAATCGATAGGACATCAAATGACATTGCGGGGTTTCCTGATGGTAAGCAACACTGTCCATGGACACGCGCAACAACAGACGCGTTGCTTTTTTGAGGATTACAACATAATATATTATTACGCGGGTATTAACGCGAAAATATGACCACCAAAATATGACCTGTGCAACCAGGTCGAAACGTCAAGCCTACCAAGGTCAAGGGACGATCTCCGGCCACCGTAAGCGCGGGTCGGCGGTCGGCGAGCAAGGGCAGCTCGCCGCCCGACCGCCCGACGTAGCGTTAGCCGCGCGCGCCTCAAACAGCCAATAGACCACCACAGACGGTGCCCTAAAGGGCTGCTGTTCAGCCGGGGTTGCGGGGTAAGCGCAATGAGGCAAGAGTCTGACACTCCCTCCCGCCCTGGCCCTGGGTGGGAGAAGTCATTTGATGATTTTACCCTCACAAAAAAAAGCCTACCAAGATATTAAAATAATTACTTTTCGCGTGAATACCCGCTTAATTATATGCTGGAAACATAAAATGCGGCAGTTTAAACCTTTTTGGGGTTTAGCGGAGATTTGGAAGGGATTGGGGAAGGGGAAGTAGGAAATGGGTATCCGGTGTCCTCAAAATCACGGCGAAACACAACTTTGTGATTGATTCACAAATAAAATTACAAAATTGGAGTAATTACAGTCTTAGCGTAACTATCCTTTCTCTTTACACCGAATCACACAAAACAAAACTATGCGCAACCACTGCGCAACTATTGCGCAACTATTGCGCAACTTGCCCATCATCACTTACTTCTACGTTGCGATTGTTTTACAAATAAAATTACAAAATTGGAGTAATTACAGTCTTAGCGCAACTATCCTCCACTGTCCTTTATCATTACAGCGAATCTCCGAAAACAAAACTTTGCCATGCAAGCATTGCAAGCATTTGCGCAACCGTTGCGCAACTTCCTACCATCGCTTACCTCTACAGCGGGCATGTAGACAGCATACAACGCATCCCCAGCAATCTTCTTCGCTTTACCAAACGCAGTGGACAACCATCCTTCACAGCGCTCGGACACTGTTAATATAGCTCTCGATAGTTCTAGAAGATCGTCCTAAAAAAGAAGATTAATTATAGATCATCATCAGCCTTTAATTACCCACTGCTGAGCAAAGGCCTCTTCTTACACGGAGAAGGTTTGAGCATTAATCAATTGGGTAGTTTCCTAGGTCAAAAATAAATTAATTCGACGTTTCAATACAATAAAATATTGAAAAATAACTATACTTTTATTCATCGATCGATCGATACACTAAGTTTTAGATATTTTGTAACTAATTTAATTATTAAGAAATAAGTAAGCTATTTGACTTAAAATTACTATGACGTCATACCTCAGTTTTTCATACGAATTTCATAGAAAAGTATCGTTTTTGACATTCGGATAAAAGTATTGAATTTGACTAGTTGGAAACTACCGTATAATCGCCACAACATTTATAATCAGAATCTAAGGAGTGGAGTTCTTTGGCGGAGTCTGTGTTCCCCGAAGGGTATAACCTGGGTGTCTTCAAGGCCCGAGTGAATAGGTTGCTTATGGGTAGACGTGCTCCATCGTAGGTCGCATCATCACTTTCCACCAGGGTGACGGCAGTCCATTACTGAATAAAAAAAACCACTACGCTTGCTCAAGGTAGATTGGCGATTGCAAACTTAGCAATCAAATCACGATTTTTGTATAAGATCCCCATCTTCAATCCCCAAAAATCTCAGCCTTAACCCCCCTTCCCGACCCTCCCAAAAGGCTTCAACGAGTTTATCAATAACTCTTCTAGTCAAATTCAAAGTCCAATTTAACCCTAAATAGGTACTTTTGAAACGTCAAAATAGAGTAGTATTCTGTCAGTCTGTTCGTCAGTGAAGCTAGGTGCTCGTTCCAAATTGTAGATTCGAATGGAGAAGAACGAGAAAGAAACTCCATCGTTACTCTTTTTAAAAAGTAATATTTGTTTTACAAGTGTCGAGGGTAAACATCAATTTTTTTTTATTGATTATAGGTTTGCGCTTGACCGCTATCTCACATGATGGAAAGCGACGATGCGGTCGACGATGGAGCGCGCTTACCTAGAAGTAACCTATTCACTCTTGACTTAAAGATACCCAGATTGTAGCTATCAGGAAACACCGACTCCGGCAAGGAATTCCACTCCTTGGCCGTACGCATAATGAATGTGCTCCCAAAACGTTTTGTACGTATATGTGGGACATCCACCATGAACCGGTGGCGCAATGCCGTAATAAAAAAAGAATACCTGATTCAATTGTGGATCGTTCAAATAATCCAAAAACAGTCTTGTCTGTAGTTCTGTATATTTTGGTAGTAGTTCCCTAAGAGGGGCGTATGCAGCTTGAGCGAAAGTACGCAGTATGCTCGGCGTAAGCGGTTCTGTAATAAAAAAAATAGTTTTTTTTTGCCGCAGGGTTTTCTCCTGTGTTGTGGGTGCGGTTACAAACATACAGTTTCACATACACATGACACCCAGACCCGGAACAACAATTTGTGGGTCACCCAAAGAGTTGTTCCGTGCGGGAATCGAACCCGCGACACGTTGCACGGCAGCCAGTTGCCCAGCCACCGCACCAACCGTGCAGTCATCAGTTGTATCAATCCATAGTGGCCTGGAGGTTAAGGCGCCCGCTTCTCATGCATGAGGGTCCGAAACCTGGTAAGTACCAATGTGACCTTTTCCGAGTTATATGTACTTTCTAAGAGAAAGATTATTTAGACACCACATACATATTGGGGACATTATGTAATTGAGTAAGTGTGGGAGAGCCAAGCTTCGGCACGGCATACCACGGCCTCACAGAATACCGGCGTGAAACAACCCACAGCGTTGTGTTTCGCCGTGTGAGTGAGGTTACCGGAGGCCCAATCCCTGCCCTTCCCCTATCCCTTACCGATGCTTATATCCGCAACCCCTATCCCCAAACGGCCGGCAACGCACTCGTAACTCCTTTAGTGTTGCGGGTGTCTATGGGCAGTGATGATCGCTTACCATCAGGTAATCCGTCTGCTCGTTTGCCACCTATACCATAAAAAACTAACTTTTTTTGGGAGCGAATATCATCATTTGACTTCTCCCGCTCTGCGTTAGGCGAGAGAGAGTGTCAGACTCTTACTGACTAAAAACCCCCCGTTCCTTCTCCTGCTCTGGGCCTAGGCCGCGGTGACACTGATGGATAGCTACAATATCCCTGAGTGCTATAAATTATACTTGATTTGCATATTTTAACTGCACTTTGAAAGCTGCTGTTTTTAAAATCCCAGGATACATTACTTTTATACGCGAGCGAAGCCGGGCAGGTCGCTAGAAGCTTGGGAGAGAGAGGTCACTCATCCAAAAACCAACCGCAACAAGTGTAGCTTACCTTTATTCTGCCTCGGCGCGTCTAAGACATTCTGTATGCAATTAACAAAATCATTTATATCCGTTCTCAAATCTGTCAAGAGCAATATTCCTTCGTCCGGAGAAGAACAGAGTTTCAAATTCGCTGAAACGACCTGAAAAAAAATTCCAATACAGTTTATTCGAAACTCGACTTTGGCTTGCGATAAATCCAAGCCAAAGTCAACATCAATGTCAAATTTAATGTCAATGTCAATTTCAAAGCCAACGTCAAAAGTCAAAGTTAATGTGAAAGTCAATGTCAATGTCAATTTCAAAATCAACGTTAAAAGTCAAAATCAATGCGAAACTCAATGTCAATGTTGATTTCAAAGACAATGTCGAAGTCAATGTCAATGTCAAAACAATGTCAAAGTCAATAACAGAGTCAATGTCAAAGTTAATGTGAAAGTCAATTTCAGAGTCAATATCAATCTTAATGTCAATTGTAACGCCAAAGTCAACATTGATGTCAAAGTTAATGTAAAAGTCAATGAAAGTCAATTTCAGAGTCAATGTCGCTGTCCCTGACCGTGTCAATCTTGTTGGTAGAACTCAAACTCGAAACCAAAGTCAAAATAGATATAAGTTTATTCGAAATTTAATTTTACCTTAGTGGGTGATGGGTCCAAAGAAAGCAATAGATCCGTGTATAGTCTTATTAATTCCGTGAGAGGCGTGTCCGACTTCAAGACATTGGTCAACCAATCAACCTGTAGTGGAAAATCAACCTTAATACTCAGTAAAAATTAAATACAAATTGCTATCACAATATTTTGGGGTCCGTTTATTGGAGAGTGCGAGAAACGAGCCAATTACCTGATGGTAAGCAATTAGTGTAGCCCAGACACTTGCAACTCGAAAAGAGCTAAAACTGTTTTTTTTTTGTGACGGGAAAATCATCAAATGACTTGGAGGAGGGAGTGTCAGACTCTTACTGACTAAAAACCCCCCCTTTCCTTCTCCTGCTTTAGGCCGAAGCCAAGGTGCGTCATTGCGCTTAGGCCAGGCTAGCGGAGAATTTACTATAATTTCTCAGCGGTAATCTTTACTATATCTATACTAATATTATAAAGAGGTAAAATTTGTAAGTTTGTATGTAGGGGGTAATCTTTGGAACCGCTGGTCGGATTTTAGGATTATTGTTATAATTAATTAATTAATATTGTTAGGATTACCTGACGGTAAGCAATCAGCGCCGCCCATGGACACCCGCAACGTAGGAGTTACGAGTGCGTTGCCGACCTTTTAGGGATTAGGGATTTGGAGATTTAGGAACTGGGGAGGGATTGGGGAAGGGGAAGGATTGGGCCTCCGGTTACCTCACTCACACGGCGAAACACAACGCTGTGGTTGTTTCACGCCGGTTTTCTGTGAGGCCGTGGTATCACTCCGGTCGAGCAGACCATTCGTGCCGAAGCATGGCTCTCCCAGAAATTGCGGATTGCCAAAATTGTTTCACTGATAGATAGCTACAATGTTCCTGAGTGCTATGGGCTATAAAGCATCACGCTAAGATTAAATTGAGCCGAGCAGCGAGTGAAACCGCGCGAGAATAGCTAGTCCCTAATACAATAACAGACTCCACAATAAGCGCAGTGGCTGGGCAACTGGCTGCTTTGCAACGTGTCGCAGACTCAATTCCCGCACGGAACAACACTGTGTCATCCACAAATTGTTGTTTCGGGTCTGGGTGTGATGTGTATGTGAAATTGTATGTTTGTAAACGCACCCACGACACAGGAGAAAATCCTAGTAAAAAATTTTGAAAAGAAAGTATGAGACTGGTCTTCTTCATACCTGTTTACCAGCTTCGCTGGACAGCATTCTGTTCAGAGCTGCCAGGGTATGGGAATCCAGCCTTCTCCACGAGGAAGACAGTCGAGCTGCTGCAGCCCGTCTCCAACAACGGGAGACGGAGACCGTACGCCCCATACCCGCGAACAGAGACACGTAGGTCGCTGTGCGGTCTGAAAACAAACATGATATTTTTTAAGGTAAATTAATTGATGAGAAATCTATAATAATAAGTGCCAATTTGACTTTTTCCGAGTTATATGTACTTTCTATGATTATTTAGACACCAGTGACATACGGTGAAGGTAAACATCGTGAGGAAACCTGGACTTGTAATTCACCAATACGACATGCCAGGTTTCCAAGCCGGTTCCTCATTTTTTTTAACGACTTAGGTCGGCAAACGAGCTACCAATTTACTTGACGGTAAGCTATTATGAGTGGTAGTTTTCTTGTCGGTTATAAAGGATTTATGGATAGAGGATTTGAGGATAGAGGATGAGAGGGATTGGGCCTCCGACCAACCTCACTCACACGGCAAAACACAACGCTGTGGTTGTTTCACGCCGGTTTTCTGTGAGGCCGTGGTATACATAATATCTTCTGATTTATTTCATTGCGGGATCCAAGACAGTCATTCATGTCTCTGTGACGCGGCGGACTTCAGTGTTTTCATGGTTGTATCTACTGTAGATCCTGGTGCACAGGAGTTGCAGCAGTTTTGGGAGGTTGTGGTTTTTTTTTGTGAGGGGAAAATCATCAAATGACTTCTCCCGCCCAGGGCCGGGCGGGAGGGAGTGTTAGACTCTTACTGACTAAAAACCCCCCTGTTCCTTCTCCTGCTCTGAGCCGAGGTCGCGGTGCCTCATCGCGCTTACCCCGCAACCCCGGCTGTACATCAGCCCTTTAGGGCTCCGTCTGTGGTGGTCTAATGGCTCTTTGAGGCGCGCGCGGAACGCTACGCGCCGTACGCTCGGGCCTGGTTCTGGTCGGGCGGCGAGCTGCCCTTACTCGTCGACCGCAGGCCCGCGCTTAAGGTGGCCGGAGATCGTCCCTTGATCTCCGACGCCCGTAGTGTCGCCAGTTGCGGCTGCTGGGGCGTGAGGAGGAGGATTGCTCCCTCACGCGGGCCGCCTCTCTCTTTGCGAGCATGACTGCTTCACAAAAGGAGGAGACGGCGTCCCAGTTCCTCTCACTCCGCACCATGGCCTCGACTAAGGCCGGGCGCGAGAGGTCGCCGCCGCCGATCACTTCCCTGAGGATACGGCGGTGCTCAGCCCAGGCAGGGCCGGCATACCGCTACCGTATGCTCCACCGTATTCTCTAGGTGGTCCTCACAATGACTCGATTTGGTGATGGTGACATAGTTGTGGTGGGTTAATAATAATAAATTTGAACTTACCAGCGTCCATTTGAGTCAGGGCTTCGATCAATGGCGGACTGATGGCTGCTTCCAATCTGTTATAAAGAGTCTCTAGCTGCAGCCGCTTGGTTTCATAATCTGGAGCATCGCTTAATACCTGTATAATAATAATAAACTAGTTTACTCCAGCGGTTTCAAAAAGAAAATGAAAGAAAGAAAATCATTTATTTTTGCGTAAGCACACACACAGAATACAAAAATCCAATCAAAAGAAGAAAATAACTATACTAATATTATAAATGCGAAAGTAACTCTGTCAGTCTTTTTCACGACTATACTACTGAACCGATTTCTGTGATATTTGGTACAGACAAAGTTTGGAACTCGAGAAAGGATTTTTAGTTTCTAAACTTAAAATATGCAGGAAGTCACTATTCTACGCGAACGAATTCGGGGCCAAAAGCTAGTAAACAAATAAAAATGGCCATCATTGTAATCCATTCAGTAGTTTTTACGTGAAAAAGTAACAAAGTGCATTTATAATATTGGTAGGATTAAAGTTAGGAATTTGGAGATCGCTAAGTTATTTATACCTAAGTAAAAAAACATACCTAGAAAATATAAATCACGACATTAATGATAATATACATGTACATACAGACAAATTAAGACTTTATATAGTGGTCTTAATTTTCTTAAGATTTGCGAAAACGATTTTAAAATCAACCTAGTTCGGTCCATAATTAGAGACCACAATTTGACAACAGCAAATGTCAAACTACAAAATAATGTGGCCAGATTTTATAACATAGTGATGGGCCCGAGTACGATGTTTTAAATAAAATACCGATACCGTTTTTTTATAAAATACCCTGAGCAAAATAAAACAACGTTGCGTTGATGTTTTTTATAGTTTAGTCAAATTAATAATAATAATTTAAAATAAAAACGCGAAATTCAAGACTGGCTAAAAGAAAAACATTATATTTGAGGAACCTATGCTGAAAGGCGAGCTGTTGGAGATTTCCCTGAAAGAGAAGAGTAATTATGAATGAATATGATACGTCGTGGACTGATGGCTGCTAAAACTATCACTCGGTCACTATTTTACGGTTGCCTCCTTACCATTATGATTTTAACCCGACTGAGTTAGTATGGGCACAGGAAGGTACCAGGGAAAGTAGCTAAAAATAATAAAGCTTTTAAAATGCACAAAGCCCAGAATTTAATTTCGGTCTTTCGGTCAATACCGGTCGGGGGACTTCACTATTTATGAAATGGAAAAAACTTGCAACACTCGAAATGTCAAATCGTTGTCTCTAATTATGGAACGAACTATAGTATAAGTACTTTTGACCACTTTATAAGTATTTCTGAACGTCAAACAAAATAATTAAATATCTAAAAGTTTGTCTCAGTGTGTCAGTCTGTCCGTCAGTCCTCTAGTGAAGCTATTGGCTCGTTCCAAAGTGTTCTAAACAAGAAACTCCTAGGTTATTTTTTTTCAATCAGTTCGACAGTTAATTTCTTTGTTGTTTTAATCACTACATCGTGTAAAACAAAGTCGCATATACCTATGATTCGTCAAACAGATTATACCCACCTCAAGACTAGCGGTCATTGCAGACACTTGTTCAGCCAGTTCAGCCAACTTATCACCTTGCGTTGGCACTCCAGACTCCAATATATCCTCCAAGGAGGTGGCTAAGGCCGCCCATTTGTCAGCTTCGCGAAGAGCTGAGGCCGCATTCTGTAAAAGATGTACCAATTGTGTTTTATGGGCTCCTAGTACTTCTAAGTTGAGTTTGGAAGATCTACGTGTCTGCTCGACTAGAGTGATACCACGGCCACACAGTAAACCGGCGTGAAACAACCACAGTGGTGTGTTTCGCCGTGAGAGTGAGGTTACCCCTCCCTTATTCATAAATCTCCGAAACCCTTATCCACAAAAGGCTGGCAAATCCACTCACAGCTCCTCTGGTCTTGCGGGTGTCCATGGCATCAGGTAATATGTATGCTTGTTTCCGTCCTATCACGCTCCACACACATTTAGCTAATGTTTTTTTAAATAATAGCTTCGTTTAATGCGTTCCTAGTACTTTTTCTGGTTTATTAAAAACAAATACTTCAGGTAATTAATTCGTTTTGTAGGATTCTAGAATGTTTCGGTGATGTTTTTAAAAGATATGATGTTCTAGTAGTTTTAGTTGATGTTTTTCGTAGACCAGCTTTATTTTATGGGATTCGTGTACTTTTAGCTGGCGCTTTTGGAAGACCACCTTTGATTCATGGGCTCCTAGTACTTCTAGCTGTTGTTTTTAAAAGACCACCTTTGATTTATGGGCTCCTAGTACTTTTAGCTGTTGTTTTTAGAAGACCACATTAGATTTATGGATTCCTAGTAATTCTAACTGTTGTTTTAAAAATACCACTTTTGATTAATGCTCTCCTACTACTTATAGCTACTGTTTTTAGAAGATCACCTTTATTACGGGCTCCCAATAATCCTAGCTGTTGTTTTTAGAAAACCACGTTTGATTTATGGGCTCCTAGTACTTCTAGCTGTTGTTTTTAGAAGACCACCTATGCTTTATGAGTTCTTAGTACTTCTAGTTCTTGTTTTAAAAATACCACTTTTGATTAATGGTCTCTTAGTACTTATAGCTGTTGTTTTTAGAAGACCACTTTTGATTTATGGATTCCTAGTACTTCTAGCTGTTGTTTTTAGAAAACCACCTTTGATTTTATAGGCTCCTAGTACGTCTATTTATTTTTAGAAGATATATTTACTTCATGGGCTTCTAGTACTTTTAGCTGTTGTTTTTAGAAGACCACTTTTGATTTATGGATTCCTAGTACTTCTAGCTGTTGTTTTTAGAAAACCACCTTTGATTTTATAGGCTCCTAGTACGTCTATTTGATATTTTTAGAAGATATCTTTACTTTATGAGCTTCTAGTACTTTTAGCTGATGTTTTGTCAAAAACCACCATTGTTTTATGGAATCCTAGTACTTTTTATAGGATGGGAGGGTAAACCAGCTCATATATTATTTATTACCTGGTGGTAAGCGATTAACGCCACCCATGGTAACACAATATCTCCTATATATAATGGTGTCTAGTCCACTAGCTAGAAACAAACAAACTCTTTAATGGTATAAGCATCACTACACAGTATAAAACAAAGTCATTTTCTCATCCCTATGTATGCTTAAATCTTTAAAACTACGCAACGGATTTTGATGCAGTTTTTACATGGATAGAGTGACTGAAGAGGAAGGTTTATACAGGGTGTAAATGACCCTTAACGAAGTCGAAGGTCACGTATCTACCCATTATATGGATCATTTTTTTGTTTAAGACCATAGCTGGGACTCCACGGGTTCTCGAGATATTGAAGGTCAAAGATGCATTTTTAATTTTCTTTTTTTTGCGCAATCGAATTCTAAGTATTATTACAAAACTTTTTTCCAAACAAACATTACATTTAAAGTTACGAACAGTAATGTACGTAACAAATAAATGCAGACCCGCACAAAAAACATCGTGCATCTCAGTAGGATTTTTATTTTACAGAATTGTTTTGTTGTTGCGAAGTAAAACGTCGACCTACGTACTTATCACAGCGCTTTAATGCTAAGCTGTGAATCTACGCACACAATGACACGAAGACCGTTTGCTTTACATTGCACGCAATAAAATTTTTTTTTGAAACCTAAAAATAAAAGTCTTTTCCCAGTGATAATTTTAGCGTAAAGCTACTTAGTTAGAACCGCAGTATGCGTAGTTAACGGCTTCGTTAAGTGTCTTTTTACACCCTGTATGTATTATAATAACATCCATTGAATAGTGGAGAAATTTAGTATCAGCACTATCCAGAGCGGGTCGCTAGCAGATTTTATATAAATTAATTGGCGTAGAACATACCTCAAGTCGACTCTTCAATGTGTCAATCTTCTGTAGACTTTCAATGGAATGTCCGGTCTGCTCCTCAACGCTTTGGACCTTCTGTTCGAGGGACAAGAGTTTCTGCTGCAGCATGGCACCTTCAAGCTGGAGCGAGGACGCATCTTGAAGGATACGGGGAATTGAAGTCACTATCTGTATTGAAGGATGAAGATTTTTTTATGAGAAGCAATATTTGAATAAAAATATTTTTTAACAAAAAGACTTTAAAAGTTAAACTAAAAAACAAAAAAAAATATTTTCTTTGCACAAAGTAATACGTATTTTCATTTAGTTTAATAACTATTTTTTTAACTTGAAATTGGTGCCAAATAAAACAATAATAGTGTAAAGATATTACGTACTATCAGTGTCATAAGTGCATGGAGGATTCCAAATCAAAATCGTTTGTACGGCGTTTCATCGCCTTAATAATACACCGTGGACGACATAGATGTCGCTAGTAAATTAGTTTAAAAAAATATACATATACTTTTTATTAGTTACAAAGTTATTATTTACGTTAATTTCATTTATAAACAGCGCCATCTAGTAGGAAATGTAGCGTTATGCAAAACTTGTCAGTCAATAGTTGACCTTAAGCTCTCCATGCACTTTTGTCACCATTAGTACATACCTATTATAAGTTTGATGATTATTTATTATGTTTTCGGCTTACTCACGTAATAATTTGACGAGATACTCGACTAGAAAACATAATAAATAATTTAGAATGTCTCACGAAAGTTTTAATAAAAAATGTTTGATGATTAGTTGTCAGTAGGTATCGATCAATCTATTTTATAATTATAGGTATGTTGTAATTGATTTAATATATTCAATTAATATTGTATGTACCTACTTAGTAATTTAATATTATAGTAAGGTTGTTGTAGCATTTACTTGGCACCGACTTCGAATTGAGATACTTTTTGGAAGTCTGTTAAAAATAAGACGATACGAAATAATCCGCCGTGTGCTTTCGTCAGAATAAAATACCTATATTTGTCCTATTTTTTTTTATTCCTCTCGCCCAAGGTGAAGCAAGAGGGAGTGTCAGACTCCTGCTGGGCGACTGCCTAAAACCCCCTGTTCTTTTTTCTGCTCTAGGCCGAGGCCGCGGTACATTATTCTGTGGTTTTTTTTGTGAGTGGAATATCATGAAATGACTTCTCACGCCCAGGGCCGGGCGGGAGGGAGTGTCAGACTCTTACTGACTAAAAACTCCCCTGTTCCTACTCCAGCTCTAGGCCGAGGTCGCGGTGCCTCAACATTATTCTGTGGTGACATTAGCTCTTGGAAACGCGCCCGCGGACCGCTACACACCGCAAGGTCGGGTCTGGTTCTAGTCGAGCGGCGAGCTATCGTTGCTCTCAGACCGCAGACCCGCGCTTACGGTGGCCGGAGATCGTCATTCGATCCCCGACGGTCGAAGTGGGGCGTAAGGAGGATAGTTACCTCCACTTTTGCAATCATCACTGCTTTGGAGAAAGAGGAGGCGGCGGCGGGCCTACCAGGTTCCTCTCGCTTAGCACCATGATCTCGACTAAGGCCGGACGCGAGAGGTCGCCGCCACTGATCACTTCCCTAAGAGACGCCATGGCGACCCGTATATATATATATATGTGTGTGTATATCTGTAGAAAACAGACTACAAACCTGCGTAGTAGTCTCGTCCAGCGAATTAGTTAGTTGTTTCATATACAGTTGTAATCTCGATACTGTATTAGCTACGAATATCTGTAAATAAATAAAACACATTAATATTGAATTTGAAGAATAGAAGAATTAGGTTTGCGATTCCAAAGAGACTTGCAGAGATAATTGTATTAGATAACTGGCTAAGTATAGGACGGGGCTAGTACTGAATTATTAGCAAGTTAATCTAAGATGTGGTTAGTAAAAATATTTATTGCAACTTAGGGCAAATATTTCAATAGTCAGACAAATGTTATCTGAGGAATAAAATTGTTGCTGTCACTGTCTTATACAAACATTCTGACGCGACAGCATCATAATTATTCCCCGGGTAACTTTTATCTAACCATTGAAAAATCAGCCCTAAATCTTATATGTAATTATGAAATCTTAATCATCATAATTATGTAGGTATAGAAGCAAGTTGTGTAAGTTACACTTGACTGCACAGTTGGCGCGGTGGCTGGGCAACTGGCTGGCGCCGTGCGACGTGTCGCGAGTTCGATTCCCGCACGGCACACAACACTTTGTGTGATCCACAAATTGTTGTTTCGGGTCTGGGTGTTATGTGTATGTGACATTGTATGTTTGTAAACGCACCCACGACACAGGAGAAAATCATAGTGTGGGGCAACGTTTTTTTTTTTTTAAATTTAACACATTCAGTGCCCCCGACGCGTATGTGCGTTCTGATACATTAATGTATTGAACGCACCGGTGCGTCGAGGGCACTGAATGTGTTAAAAAACAAAAGACACTATTTACATCTCAAGAACAGCTGAATCGATTTTGATGAGAATTGGTGGGGTTGTAGTTTAGAACCAGAAGAAGAACATAGCTAAGTGTGGGAGAGCCAAGCTTCGGCACGAATGGGTCGGGTCGATCGACCACGGCCTCACAGAAAACCGGCGTGAAACAACCACGGCGTTATGTCTCGTCGTGTGAGTGAGGTTACCGGAGGTCCAATCCCGACCCTTCCCCTATCCCTTTCCGACCCTTATATCTCCGCAACCCCTTTCCCCAGAAGGCCGGCAACGCACTCTTGACTCCTTTGGTGTTGCGGGTGTCCATGGGTGGCGCCGATTGCTTACCATCAGGTCCATCTGCTCGTTCGCCGACTTATACCATAAAAATGCAGGATTATGAAGGTAGGGAAGGTAGGGTAGAAAGAGTAGGGAAGATACACTATCTGTGTAGGTTAGGTATGTTGCTAGATAGGTTAGTGTAGGTAGTCACACCAAAAAAAAAACAAACAAAAAAAAAAGTGTAGGTAGTCAAATAATAATAGAAATAATGGCTAAATAATGTAACAATGAAATGAATTGCGAAACTGATGGAAAAAGAGTAACCATGGAGTTTCTTGTTCATTCTTCTCTATTGGGATCTCTTTGGAACAAGCTAGTAACTTCACTATAATAGAGTGTAGACCGACATACATATACAATTGAACCTTTTAATATATAGAAGAAAGAAAGAAAGAAAAAACATTTATTGACACAACACAAGACATACATATAATAATAAAAAGTACAAAAAAAAAAACAGATAGAAGGTTGTGCCAAATAGCATCCAGTTCAGCATTATGCCAGACAGCTAGTGCCTGACGCTGGTTTTCAACTGGACCTATGAGGAGTTGCGGGTGTCAAACGATATGAAATAATTTATGCTTTATGGAATTAAAAAATAAAAACAATAAACTAATTACTGACAAAAAAAAATTGATAATAAATATGGGTTAGGGATTAGACACAAAATATTAAAAAAAAAAAATGGAGGTAAACAAAAATTAACCCATACCGTGACAAATCGCAATCTGCAAAGGCACCGCTCGTCGACATTTTTTTTTCTTTCCTTTAAAGTACCCACCCATACGTAATCGACGATCGCGATACGCAGTGCACACATTCATCTGTGCTATAACAAAGTGTAGTACAAAACAATAAAAGTGCAAAAAGGCAAAATATAAAATTGTGACTTATGCATGCATATAAACTTGTAAAATACAATTTTGATACAGCCGTTTTAGTGGTCCGCATTGGGTGAGTATATTTACAGTGATTGTAACGGTAGGTAGGTAGTTTCCGTAAACGTATAATACGCTCATATCAGAAAACTGAAAACTTAAGCTGACCCCAATATAGTTGGGAAAAAGGCTCGGAGGATGAGGATGATGATCAGAAGACAAAATAGTATACTGAGTGGGCGACAAATGAAATAAAATTTAGAACCATTTCTTATTGATATAAATTAAATAGATTAAATAATAGAAATGTTAGCCTTAGTCATATCAAGCTTCCGTTGCGCACCTACCAAGTACTGCCGTAAACGTCTTCTAAAACTATCGACTGTGTTCATAACCCTAATAGGTGGCGGAATATTGTTCCATACTTTCGCTGCTGCATATCGGAAACTTCCTCTAAACGCCGTGGTTCTATGTGGCTGGATGCAAAGTTGTTTCGAGCATTGTCTTCTAGAGCATGTACGGCTGTCATTAATCCAACTCAGCTTACCAAATAAGTAAGCTGGCTGTTGGTACTTAATGACACCAAAGAGAAGACATGCTAAATGCAGCTTACGTCTTGATTTCATTTTGAGCATGGCGTTTTTGTTGAGGAATGGCGTGACATGACCTCTTGGGGGAATCTTGTAACAGAAGCGCGCACAGGCATTTTGCACTCTCTGTATGAGTCGCTCGGTGCGAGCTAATAGACGCGGCCCGTAGACTGTATCGACGTAGTTTAATTTAGACAGAACAAGCGACTCGACGAGTTGTTCGCGAATCGTCTCTGACAGAAAAGGTCTGATTTTATACAGAATTTTCAGACGATAGAAGCAGTTCTGTACCGAAGTAGCCACTTGCTTTTCGAATCGCAAACTACTGTCCATATTTAAACTAAGACTACGCGCCTCGTCTACTCGCTCAATGGGTTCACCCATCAGTTGAAGATTGAGTGTTGGAGGAAGTCTCTTCAACTGCTGCTTTGTGCCAAATACCACATATTTTGTTTTGGCCGGATTAAGAGCCAAACAATTTTCCTTTGACCAGACGGCTATTCTGTGAAGGTCTTCATTTAGGTCAGTTATAGATGTTTTATAGTCATCTGGTTCAAAAGACAGGTATAACTGTACATCGTCAGCATAAATGTGGTATTTACATTTTCGGAGGCAGCTTACAATATCGGCGCAGTACAGTATGAAAAGAACAGGACCCAATATAGATCCCTGTGGCACCCCTTTATCGACCAAAGTAAGTGCTGATGTTACAGTGCTTCCGTCGCTTTTGCTAAGTTGTACTTGCTGCCTCCTGTTGGTGAGGTAGCTTTCAAACCATTTTGTGGCAGCGTCATCAAACCCGTAGAATTTTAGTTTTGAGAGAAGCAGCGAAACGTTTATTGAATCAAATGCCCGGGAGAAGTCCAATAGAACCAATACCGTACACATACCCTTATCTTGAGCGGCTAGAATATTGTCCGTTACATCCAATAAAGCTGTTGCTGTACCGCGTTGTTTACGAAAACCGGACTGTAAATCAGGTAAAATGTGATTGGCTTCTAAAAAATTTGTTAGTTGCCGACAAACTACTTTTTCCAGAACTTTAGACAAACAGGGCAATATACTGATGGGCCGTAAATCTTTAACATCAACTGGGTTTGTATTCTTGGGTAGGGGCAATTTTCCATAGATCAGGGAAGGTGGAAGATGAGATGGAAGAGTTTATGATGTGAGTTATGGTTGATAATGTTTGTGGAAGCGTTAAATTCAACATCGTTAAGGTTACATTATCATGACCTTCAGCGTTCGACTTTGGCTTACGTATTATACGTGAGATTTCAAGCTCTGAAACCGGACACAAGGTGAAAATGGCTTCACCTATTAGTTCTATAAAATACAAGTTTTTGAGCACTAGCCACTGGATCACCAGGAACACTTAAAAAATGACGATTTATACTGTCTGGGTTATTTAAATGAGATGGAAGGTCTTGTCTCTCTTTAGCCGTCGAAACTGTAGATTTTAGATTCTTCCACAATAAAGTTGGATTATTAATTTTATTATTTATATTATATTTAAAATATGCCACCTTTTCGCTCCACAAAGAACTTACTACCAACGACTTTAACTGTTTGTAGTAATCCTTTTTTGTTTGTGACTTATTGACTCTATAGTTGGCTAAAGCTTGGTCCCGCAGCCTCATCATTAATTTAATATTTTCTGTAATCCAGGGGTATGAGACTTCCTTGATTACGCATGTCTTGACCGGTGCATGTTTATCAAATAGCGTAATAATTAATTGATTAAAAGTATAAACCATTTCATTAACGCTGGCTAACGTAGATATACTTTCAGTGTTAAAGTTATTAAGATCAGCATTGAAGGGATCCACGCATATACTTTTAAACGGTCGGTATCTACAAACGTATGGCTTAGGTTTGGTGCTCCTTATGTTAAACTCGCTAACTATAATGGAATGGCCGTTAAACGAACCGAATGCTTCCACAGATGTGCGAGTGGCCTTTACGTCAGTACACAACAGGTCTATGAGCGTTTCGCTGTTGCCTGTAAAGTGAGTAGGGGAGGTGACCAACTGAGTGAGATCAAAGCACTTTAGAAACTCGACAATTTTTTTCGATTTGCTTTCATTTGGAACTAACATATTAACATTAAAATCACCAAGCAAAATAAAATGATCAAAACCCCCCAACGTACTTATAGTATCCGTAACGGCATCTATGAAAAGATCAAGGTCGAGCCAAGGTGGTCGGTATGCTGTACCTATAGCGATCTTCATCCCGTTGATAGAGAGTGTGATGTGGCTACATCTGTTCCACCGATTCGAACCGGGGATCGACAGCGTTAGTCCACGTTCGCGCGCTCAGTCCCCGGCGTAAATAAAAGCCAACACCCCCACCACGGCCCGAGCGCACGCTCGCTGGTCGCGGCGCGTGACGCAGACGATAGCCCGGCACTCGCGGAGCACGCCCTTCCTCGCCCGCACGCAACCACGTTTCATTAATGGCCATGATATCGAACTGGTAGTTCTCAA